TATTATTCTTTATTAATAATATAAAATTATAATAATAATAATAAGAATAATATAATAAAATTATAATGATAATAACAATAATTATAATATATAATAATAATAATACTAGTAATTTAATTATAATAACATAACAATAATTATAATAATAATAAAAGAAGAAGAATACTATATAATAATTATAATAATAATAATAAGAATAATCATAATAATAGTTTAGTTTAGTTTAGTTTAGTTTATTGACTACATTACATACATTATTGTACATTTGAAGTCACAGATTTTTGTATTTTAAATATAGTTACATAATTAATATAATCATCGACACTGTAAAAACACTTGTCTATGAGAAAGTTCTTCAATAGTCTATTGAATTTGTAGACATTCATATTTTTCACATCATGTTCTGCGTAACAGTTCACAAATAAATTGTATAATGTGACATCCGGCTTGTTCAACTTGGATAAACGTAATCTAGAAAAGGGAACTCTGATGTTATTTGCTGACCTGGTATCATGATCATGAACATCGGAATGCGTTACATATTTATGGAGGTTTTTATGAATATGTAAAAGCGTTTCATATATAAAAATGCTTGGTAGTGGTAAAATTCGATGTTTTCTAAAAAGTGGTTGGCATGGTGTGCCGTATTTCGAACCATCAATTATGCGAACAGCTGCCTTTTGGAGTGTGAACGCTTTGAAAGATCCAGAAGCGTTCCCCAAAGGAGGGCACCGTACGACAACTGACTGTGGATTAGGCTGAAGTAAACTGTTTTTAGAATACGTTTATCCAAATATTCACTCATCCGTCGAATTGCAAAGATTTGCGTGGATAACCTGGAACAGACGAGATCAATGTGCGGTGACCAAGTAAGTGCCGTATCCAGTTTAACTCCTAGGAGTTTGACAGGATCAGACGCAGGTTGACACTTGTCAGAGCTGAAAACGATAGAAGATGTTTTGGCGTCATTTAGCTTCAGTTTGTTCACCGAGAACCACTTCTTTGCCTGTTCCAAGCCATCAACGCTTAACTCCTGCTGATCCCTTGTTGATAACGTCGTGTCGTCTGCGAACATAAAACACAAACTGTGATCTATTGACGCCGGCAGATCATTTATGTAGGCCAAGAATAAAGGGGACCTAACACCGAGCCCTGAGGAACTCCGTTATCAATAGGGAGCAGAGTAGAGTCGTAACCATTGCAACTAACATATTGTTTCCGGTTAGTCAAGTATGATCGGAACAGATTAATTCATACCTCGTACACCGTAGTACTCCAGTTTTAGAAGCAATATACTAGTATTGACACAATCAAAGGCTTTAGTAAGATCGCACACAGTAGTAAAGGTTTTAAGACCATTATCCAGACCATCAACAACATATTCCACTAAATCAAGCAGCTCTTTGATTGTGGAGCTTCCCTTCCGAAATCCATATTGGCATGTGGATAGTAATGAATTTCTTTCGAAATATGATAATAGCTTGTCCTTTAGCAGGATTTCAAAAACTTTCCCTATGATGGGCACAATGGCTATTGGCCGATAATTACATGGGTCATTCGCATCACCCGATTTATGAAGAGGAAGAATCTTTGAAATCTTGAGCGAGTCAGGCCAAACCCCTTCAGAAATGCACTTATGTAAAGAATTGAAAGTGGTTCAACAAGAGACTCAATAGCTCTTTTAAGCATTGAGCTATTCAAACTGTAGTAGTCCAAGCAAGGAGAGTTGCTAAGCTTGAGAATAGCTTCGGCAACATCAGACTCTACAATTGGAGCAATAAAGAAAGACATAGATGGTTTTCGGACCTTGTTCAGCAATGTAAGTGGGGCAACACTTTCATTGTCAATTGAGCATACTATATTCTTTGAAACTGTGGAAAAATATCTATTGAAGCTATCTGAAGATACAGTGGATTCTATATGATTGGACTTTAATCGATTACGTTCTGAATTAACTATTTGCCAAACTGTCTTGTTTTTATTATTAGTTGTCAGTATTCTTTTGGAATAGAAGCTCCTTTTTTCCAGTTTAATTGCTCGTTTATATTCATAGCGGCAGTTCCTAAAGGCTAGCCAATCTTGCTCTAACCTTATTGATCTAAAAATTTCCTTGTATCTAAATAATTGCTTGCGCATATATTTGAGCCTCTTTGTGAACCATCTCAAACCATTATTCGTATTATCAATTTTCCGCAAAGGAAAACAAGCATCAATTCCTAAATTTAGAGCATTGAGTATTGAATTTGCTAGATTAGCAGCAGTACGCGTATTACTCTCAGGAAAAGACCAGTCAAAATCGTGAAGCTTGCTGGCGAATAACGATAGCCCCTTGCTAGTAACGTTTCTTATCTTAAAGAGCTACTACAACGGGCTTGCTTGATTGATCGAATGAACATGTAAATTCCACAATGGTCAGAAAGGTTTAGATCAAGAACACCGGTAATACGGCTCTCAATATCAATATTCGTCAGTATGTTATCCAGACAGGAGCTGGTGGAAGAAGTAATACGCGTAGGTTCGCTAATACAATGTGAGAGACCATATGATGAAAAGGCTTAATAACGTCAGCAGCAAGATGCGAGCAGCTGGTTAAAATCACCGAGTATGATTAGATTTTTATATCTAGGATACAAATAATCAATCATAAAAACTAGTTTGTCTTTGAATATGGCTATATCACCACAAGAGGATGACCTGTATGTGGTGATCACAGCCATATTTTTAGATGGGGCTGCAATTCCACAAAACTCTGCATGAAATGGTATACAAAAGCTGCTGAGATCAATATCTTTGAAATCTGAATGACTGTTAACCAAAATTGCAACGCCACCATGCGCATTGGCAGGCCTACAGTAGGAAGAAATAACAAAGTAACTATTAAAATTAATCGAATACAATTTATCATTGTTCAGCCAATGTTCCGATAAGCAAATTATATCAAAGGAACATTCACTCAACCACAAACACAGCTCATCTACTTTGCTAGATAAGCCTTGGATGTTCAAATGCATTATTGAGAGACCATATGTAGTAGAACAGTCCTTATCTGCAGAATGAGAGGACATCTCACAGTTCTCTTGAACGCCGGCCATCTGCACCACGCTCTGATCTCTTGAAATCTCCTTTGGTATTTCTGGCTCGAAAAAATCGGTTCAACAGAACACCTGTAGGCCAGATGTTACTATCCATAATGGTGGAAGCTTCGTCGACTGGAACAGATACCTTGAAAGATGAGTACCTCTCGGGATATCTGGCTGTCAACCTCTCGACCTTTACATTTGGAGCAACTGCTTTCAAATAATCCGAGAGAACCTTTCGTCTGTTTGTGGATCAAGGCGCGTTACATGATAGTGTGATAGATTTCGCTGTAGCAGCCTTTAAGGGACACTTTGTAAACCAGACATACTACCTATTAGTAAATTTTTGGGCTTACGTTTGCCATCATCTACATTAGTTTCTTTATCAAAATCATTTTCAAATTTATTAAAGTCTTGCAAACACTGTTAGCCTTAGCGTTATGTATAGCTTCTGCGACTAGCGTTTTGCTTATAAGCTGTTTGTCGAAAGTAAGATCGCCCCTGTGCATCGTCTCTGAAATTGAAACTGGTGGTATCGCTGTTGTTACAGTATTCAATGTTGACGACGATGCCAGTATAGCCGCGGTAGCCGCGTTTGACTGGACTGATTCTGTTCTACCTGATGGTTCAGTTGCTGCAGCATAAGACTTGTTAGGTGTGAGGAACTGCTTCAAAAATAATAACTGACCACTCAGTGCAGCTATGGTGGTGTTTTGTTGTTCAATTTAAAACAAGAAAGAGTTATAATTGAATGCTGTCTCGGCCAACTGAAACGCCGGTTTCCTATCCTACAGTATATTCGCCGCGTAAAATTGGAAAATGTTCCGACAATAATTATTGTTTGTATTGTACTCCATAATGTTGCGACGAGCTTGGGCGATCCTGACTTTGATTTAGTTAAACAAGACCCAGACGAAGATGAAGGAAATCATGAGAATGACGAACTTCCTCTCCGCCAACTAGGTCAACAAATAATAAATAGTTTTACTGATTAAACTGTATTTATAAGTTATAATAAGTTTTATTTTCGTGAACGTCATAAGATACAGGTGGCTCTGACGCTGCATCATTTCTTATTTCGTTTTATAATACTCTTGTTGTAAAATGCTTATTTGGTATTGCTGTAACAGCACTAGACGTTGCAGTTCTTTTGTAGTTAACCCTTTGGTTTCCTCAGTTTCGTATTTCTCTGGTACTAATTTTCTTTTTGGTGGCAATCTCTTCTGCATTGCTTGCGCTGTAATACCAACTGTTTGCTCACTGCGCTCGGTATATAGTTCACTTCCTTCTTCTTGAACACTACCAACCTGAATGGCACCTCTAATTTTCCCAATTGTAGGATTACAGTCACCTTCCATAGCTATCAGCAACTTTTTTTCCCAATCTAACAATTTAATTGCTTTATTACCAGTTTTTTTTTTAGTTTTTTTTTTCAATCTTGATTTCATGTTGTTGATTTTTTTTAATAAGCCTTTAGTATCTAATGGTTTACCGAATGTTGATTCCTATTTTTTCAACATCTTCTTCTAGGCATCGTCCTTTCTCATTTTTATTTTTGGCACTTGTGACTTTTGGAAAATAATGGGAGCAATGGCAATTTCATCTGCGATGAACTGCAGGTCGTTGCCATTATTTTCTATAGTTGCCTCATAACTTGAGGATGACATGCTTATTAATTTGATAAAAAACTGTATCCAGTGAAAATACGGAACGGTCTGTGTAAGCTCTGGGGTACAACTGTCAGTGATGCTGAATGAGCGAACTCCCACGCCAACCACAAGCTGAAACAAGTCAGGACATGTCGCTCAAGATACAAATACCAGTCAACCTTTTACTTCTTCTTGGAGGATAACCTCGCAAGTATAAGGTAATCATTATGAATATGAAAACAAGGATATGCTTATACCTATGCTTCCGAGGATATGCTTCTCTTTATGAATACGGCTCATTATCTGAGAAAAAACTTAATTCACTATTAAACAAAAATAAGATTTGAGGCATTACTTTGTTTTGATGCTTTGCATCCTAGTCTTGAGTTGTTGAATTTTATTTTCCTATGATCTATGGAGTACCAGCACATAGTGAAATTGTAAACTAGCTATAGTTTATATACTTGGCTTTGATAAGATTACCTGACTGATTCTGTGAAAACCCAAGACACCTTTGTAAGAGAACTGGTAGAGGTATGGGTTTTGCGAGTGTTCAATCACCAACTGCTCAGCGAACTTTAGCACAGATTTTACAAAATCATGATCACTATAAGCTGAAAATAATCACCGAAATGAAGTGAGCTTTCACATGAAATTAATAATACAAGTCATACATATCACTGATCACAGATTTCATTGAATCACAGGAAAATTAGATAACTTGACGGATTAAGATTCAGAAGCCAACAAGAAAAAACGTAATAAATGTCTATTCGATGGTGAATTACGTACATTTATTTCGTTTCTTGCAATACAAAACTTCTTTGTAGTTGTATCAAAGATAATATTGCAGTTGCATCACAAAAGTAGGTTGAACATTTCTCGGCCTGACAATGACAGACTGCGATGATTTTCAGTTGAAAAATGATTAGATTTTTTTACAGAATTCCCCTTCGACTCGAACCACACTTGATCCAACGTTTCCGACATAAGGATTTCCTTCTCCGAGTGGAAGACTGGTTGACAGTTGATCAAGAGTGTTGGAATAGCAGTTCCCCATAATGTTGTTTCTGCCGTTTAGTGGTACTAATCGCCATATAAAATCGGTCAGATTCATATTGAACTGGTCCAAACATTGCTGGGAAAGGCGCTTGCACATCCGCTTTTGATCAGCATTCAACAAATGCGGTATCCACCCTGTAGACCCTTCTCGTCCCCGGTCCTTGAACAGATGTCTTGAACTCATTGGAATTTCCATGTCATGTCGGCCAAGGACTTTCCATTTCAATCTTCGAATTGTATGAATTTTAGTAACCTCTGGCAGAGTTGAAATAGTTTCGTGAAGATGTAATTTAGTTACACTAACTTACTATGCAGGTTATTCGAAAAAATAGACGGAGAGTGTGATTCCTTGTTATTTTTTTTTAATTGATATCGTAAACAATATTAATTCGATTCTGTTGAAATTTGGCGATAGTATTTATTGTATGAAGAGGCTGATTTAGTCCTAAGTAGATAAAATTATTAGAACCAGTGACGTCCCGAGGGCATCTTGTGTCACGGTCAAAATCAGGTAACCTTTTTTATATTTATCACTTATCATAGCTTGAATTTCTCTTCATTGATAATAGAGTGCCCATTCCTAGGCCAAACCCTCTTCACTGATTTTCTTTTGACAAATTTAATAGTTTATTGATTGTATATTTCACTATTATATCTTTCTTTCTCAGCGATTCAGTATGGCGATCAGCAAAAAACTGTAGATTTTCTCCGTTAGTTGGTTTCCTATAAAACATACAAGATCTTCTTCATGCCACTCAAGATACCTTTTTCTAGGACGTTACATGTGCTGTTTCCGTTGAGGTCGTGGTGCAGGGGTCGTTCGTTTCGTCATTTTCCAGACTCTGGGATATTAGGCCCCAAGCGCCAATTCATGGACTAGGACCCTTTTTTTGTGTAACTTAAGTTTAGTCATTTTGGTTGGGTTCTACGTCTTCCATTCTTTATGGGATTTTGACCCTCAGTGGTAAGTTCTTTTCATATACCTTCGGACCACGTGGCCTAAGTGCGTGTCCTGATGACGTTCATTCAATATCTGCTTTCTTTTAGTCAATAGAAACAGAAGATAATCATCATCCTTTCTCCTCCAGTTGGTTGCATCTTGTTGCAGTTTTGCCAATTGGTGGAAGCCATCCCCTGGAAAAAAACCTGATGTGAACAGATAAAATGTCATTCTAATTTATAATTTCATAGATCTTTATACATTTATTATTGCTTATGAAATTCTTAGAGACTTCTTGATTTTATTGGACATTCTACGTATTCAAATATGGGGGCAGTGCCTACGTAGCACCTTCTATTGCATTGATCATGATTTGATTTTTGAGCTGCCATAACCATAGAAAGGGTATATTAGTACAGTACATTTTTATCTTTTTTGCCTTACTTTACTTTTTCTTGTCCAAAAAAAATGTACATAGTTTACTTCAAGTGCGATTGTTTTCAATGAGTAGTTTTATCTCAGACAGAGAGTAGAGTATATTTTTAAGCAGTCTTCCTCTCTTTAGGGTTTTTTTACTACCATAATGTTTGGCAACGAGGCAAGCAGCCCCTGCCCAGTGACGTGCCCACTACTGGCCAATTTTGACCAGAGTTGAGGACGTCTCGGCCGCGCCTGACAAAGAAACCTACAGATAAGTTGAATATTTACTTCGGGCGTATACTACGGTAGACGTTTTGCGGGGTTATCTCGAAAATAATTTGTCAGGTTGTATTTAGGATTTATAAACATCCTTTATTTTTTTATTACTCGCACTTCAGTAGTGGTGCACATGTGCGTTTTTTTTTATTAATCAACATATTGTGATTCATTTGATATCTTGATTTATTTCGTCATCTCTGTTAGACTCTCCTTTTGTGTGTTCCAACTAACATCTAGGGGAGTTGTGGCTTAATCCGTCCTAAGTCACTGGCGCTCTTAACTCCCCTACTCTCCGCTTTATTGAGCTAGGGCCTGAATTTGCACGCCACCAGACAACTGTTTTGCTTGGACCAACCTTCATTGTGTTTTATTAATTAACCAAAAGAAGGCGTGGCACTTGGCGAATATTATTGGCAAAAAAATGTACGCCACTGCCTTTTTTGTAATTTTAATATTGGTTGTTTGATTAAGCATTTTCCGAGAAAAAAATAAAAACCGGTTTATTGCATGTTACTGGACCAAAATTGGTTTATTAATTTTTGCTAAAAAAATCACAACTGTCTCGGAAAACCAATATTGAAAATGTGTCTTGTATTACAACAAATAATATTGGCAAATTTTGACAGAATGGAGCAAATATTTTTCCCGTATCTTGAAAACATGTTTATAGGAAGTTTTTTCATATGTTTTTAACAAGGAATCATCCTCTAGAATATATCCGACTATTCTTCGTATTACACTTTTCCTTTTCATTGTTCAAAAGTTTCAACTGGCTAGATTTTACAAATATTTGTTAAACCCTCCAGGGGTCGCGCGGCCTCAAACAACGTCATCGGTCGCGTGTATAGACGTTATCTAACATAAGGCGCGCAATTAGATTTTTTCTAAAAAGTTAATTTTCTATATTTTGGAATAAAAGCAATATTTTTAATTGGTATTATATATATTTATTAAAAACAGAGAAAATAAGAATCTACTATAGAATTAACTTTTATGTGTTATGATAAACAGAGGAAATAAGAATATCTAATTCTCTTCTCCAACATCATTACATTCTTTACAAATAAAAATAGTTGATAAGGTATGCTCTTTACAGATAGGTATTTGACAGCGGTCACACTTATGTTGTGTAAATCTATTTTTTCCGTGTTTGGCAATATCCGCCACCTTGGTTTCTGCTCTGGATTCTGTGGGGGTGTATTTTTCTTTTGAATGCCAGTAATGTATCGAATTTTTGTCCAAGAGAAAAAGAAATATTTGTAAAGGGAAGCTCGTTTCATCTCATGTGTGGTCATTATAAGCTCTTTTGCCAATATGTACTGAATGCGCGTCTTGGTATAGTTTTTCCTGTATTGCACTTGTATATAATTGGGAATTATAGTAGCTATATTTAGGAAGCTGCAAAAATACGGTGAAAGGCCAACGATTACTGAAACGGGTGACAGAATATTCCGCCTTCATTTTATCCGCAAACATCAACGCCTCCTTCGTAAGGTTGTAAAAGGTTATTACCTCTGGCTTTTGCTCTCTCGAATCTGGATCTATGGTGTCACTATCATGAAACGTAGATAGCAGAAGGACGTTCTTATGCTCTTATGGATAAAACGATGTTAGAGTGCATTTATTTTGTCTACCCATTTGCGCACATAGTACTATGTATAGGCCGTGATTTAGTTTGTAGAAAGTCTCCAGGGATTTCCGTTTATTTTTTCTAATGGTGCCCACATAAGTCATTTTATGGTTATGGTATAACTCGTTGCGAGAGAAACAGATGTGAAGTAATTGTCCGCAGTATATTTCTGCCCGATTTGTTTATGGTTTTATAAGCCGTTCACAACGCTTGCTGCATCATTAGCTAGTTGATAAGGGCCTAGAGCCTGCTTGCCCGCATAAATTTCCAAATTATGTACGTAAAATTTTCTGGCATCGGTAAGTGCATAAATCTTTATGCCATACTTGGCCGGCTTATTACTAATGTACTGACGAAAGCGACAACGACTCTAAACGCTTCTAACATCTCATCTATAGTAAATTCTGTGCGGGACTGTAACTACTAGAGCATTTGGCTACAAACATTTCATATATATTTCGAATAGCGCCAGGTTATCCAGCTTTGATCGCTCTTCTCGACTATCTTTATCATCAAATCTGATTGCTCGCATAAGGATATGGAAGCGCTTTTGAGACATTGTTGCCAGAAAATAGTCTGATGCTGTACCATCTGTTGCCCAGAGTTCGCTCGTATTGAGGTGTTGTGCCCTTTTCACACCTGCTAGGTAAAGTAGAACCTATAAACGCCATTATTTCTTCTAAATCTGTAGGTAAACAGTCTCTTGGACGTCCGTAGGAGACTCGCATTTGATCCAGTTTTTGATTTGTACTCTGAACTATAGTGTTGATCATCATATCCATGGGAAAAAATATTTTCCAGCAATCCATAATTTCTTTCGTTCTCTTCGCTTCTCCTATTACACCTGGAAGCTTGATCACTATATTTTGAACACAAGTTTTTGTTCGGAGACTAGGTGGTTTGTGTTTTAGCCATGGTGTGCCATCCTTTCCAGTGAAATGCGGTATTTGCTTCAAAGCAGATAGAGATAAAGGTAAACAAATATCCTCGTCATCAGAGTCCGAGGATTGCTCCGTATTAGTATCATGCAAACTGTGTTCAGAGGCAGCGTCATCTATGTCTAACTCAGACCCTACATCTGATTCAATTTCTTCGTACCATTGCTGCCATTTGGCTTCTGTTCTTGGTGACATCATATCTGGAAAGACCAATAATAAGTCTAATTATTGACGAAATTTGACCTGCCCGTATATTTATTTACAAGACAAAATAAAATCTAATCAAAAATATGATAAAAATTATGTCAAGGAATTCATAGAAAACGTGAAAACATGACAGACATATCAAAATCATAATCATTCCAGTAAAATAAAAAAGTTTGACAAAGCAACGCCACAAAAAAAATGAGCTTTGAGCCCTTAGCAATATTTAAAATTATCCTTTTGTATTAGTTACGTGACAGTTCAACTTACCAAGATTATCGAAAAAATCACATACGGGATAGGTCGCACCGTTAGATTCTTCCTAACACTTTTGAACAACGTGATCGGTCGCGCGTTAGATATATACTAAAATTATCAAATTCAAGATGACTATTTACTTCATTTGCACGCGAATTATGCATAGATGTTGCCTAGCGACACCTATGAGGCATTCCAGGAGTCTCAAGGCTATAATACGAATTTTAATAAGAACTCTGTAGTGAATTATATTTTGTTAGATTTTTTCTAACACCGAGACTGATGGAGGGTTAAGTACGTTATGCAATTATTTTCGGCCAGACTGCTGGTTGTGTGGCAGATGCGTAATTGTGTTGAAGTCGGGTTGCCGAGAGAACAACGCTTAACAGTTTGCAGCACTTTTTGATCAATTTTTGCATTGTGCTCAGAGTGGATTAAATATTGAGTCACATCTGATTATACGTACCGTGACAAGTTTCCTAGGGTTGTCCACATAGTTTCCTCCGGAAGTATAAAGTTCATCAATTCAGCTTTGATGGTATCCTTATTCTCCTCAGTGACATGCATATCATCTGGTATTGAATCACGACTTTGTGTGAATATTTCAGATATGTAACCGAGACCTTCTTTATCTGTAACGAGAATGTTGTTTCTAAAATAATGGTATTTGTCGCCAAAATCATAAGAGTGCAGTACAAAGCTGCATATGCGAAGTTTGCTAATAGAAAAATGGCAAAGTAGGTTAACTCTGCACTTCACACGCAACGCTGCCACCTGTCCATAAATAACTACCGTAATCTTAGCAGGCTAATGCAGTGCTGTTTATTGTGGAAAGTCGAAGAACTGGATAATGGTTGGTTCATCCTTTCTGTCATATATAATTGAAAACCTACAAACGTTAGAAGCAGTTATTGAAGGCCGTATCGTCAGTCGTTCCTACAATTGTAGGACGCCTTTATGGTCTCCTTGGTTTCCATAGTCTCTTCTCTCCTTCAGAAAGGCTGGGGCATTTCTAGGTTTCTACTGTCCGTGTCAGCGTCAGTGCTCTCCTATTGTGAGACTATTGTTCTCTTTTTGAACTGTAGGAAATTTGAGGCTGATATAACAAATCAAAAACATGAACAATTTGCTGCAAATAGATATTTGTGACATAACCTCAAAATAGAGTGCTGACACGGAACAGTAGAAAGCTATGAAAATTGAGGAGGCCATAAAGCTGTCCTACAAATGTGGGACTGACTGACGGTACTACCCTTACTAAATTTTGTAGCACTCTGTGTCATGCATTAATGTAACATATATCTATTAGTGTAACACTTATCCTGTGGTTTATGTGTATAGTTGCCTTTCCAACAAAACAACATGTATTGACAGAATCTTCTTCGCTGTAAACGTTTCAATCACAAAGGTGATCTTATTTAGTACAATGACAATACATCTTATTTATCTGAATTTTAGTTGACAGTTCGTTTGTTTTTTCTTGGAATAATTTGACTTACTTGTCAGTAAGAAATGCCTCTATCCAATCTTAAAGCTTACCTCGTGCATCAAAATGCTCAATTTTTGTACATCAAATGTTTATGCGGAACTTTATCAAAAGCTCTTTCGTAAACAAGATATATTATATCTATGGGATTTCCTTGATCATACATAGCTGTACATGTCATATAACATCCATAGAAACAACTTGTTTTCGAAATTTATAGTTTTTTTTGGAGATCGTTGGAGAACCCTGTATACTATCGAAATAATTCAGCGCAGAGCGCCATCTGTTACCAGAATCGACCACTGCGAGAGTATATATATATATATTGTTTGATGGCACAGTCACCATTATAACCGCTAGAGGCTGACGATTCTGGCGGCATAATACATGTGATCTAATAACTATTGAACAATATTAAGCATCATGCTACCGACCAAAGATACTGTCTTCGATAGAGAATAGTGGCTATCATTTTCTCGCTGTCGCAGAGACAAAGCCTATACCATGCTGATGAGTTGCCAAACAGCACGAAACAACTATCAATGGTTGGATCTCTTGGGTCGGTGGGACAAAGTAGCTTGTTTGGTTTCCTGTATACTACCTGACTTACCTTCCATGAGGAAATAGTCTTCCTCGCTAGTAGCACCGAGTAATACTGGTACTTTATTGAAATCTCCCTCTTCCATAGCTTCGTATGCCTGTTTGGTCAAAACAGCACCATCGTGCTCGTGCTCGTATACCAACGCAAAGAAAAATCCTTGGTACAACTGTAGATAGCTTTTAGGATTCTGGAAGATAATAAGCATATGTGTATGGTGACTAAGTTGTACTTTATAGACCTGAACCGGGTCAGGTCATGTTGCAATTCTTGCAGTTATTCTAAGACGATATTATCTGGCGCTTCGTTTCACACCACCCCCAAATTTTAAACCACATCGTATACTCTACTAACAAAATTTTTACATCATAGTAGGCGGATAACGTACCGTATGATAAATAAAAAAATATAATGCAATTATCACATTCAGTTCGACAGGGACGTCCTAGCTACAGCGCAATATTGCTAATTTATAGCACCCTGTATAATAACGGCTGATAGATAATATATCCATTCTGAATAAATTATCCTTGCTTGATTTCGATAAAATGAGCGTTGTTTCAATGACAAAAAAGTAAAACTCAATGAAGTGATCTAAAAATCGCCTGATATTTACCAAGAAGCCTCTCATTTCTCCTAAGAAGATTGAGTGAGATTGGACTGAACCCTCCACCTGAACAGTTTCAAGAAACATTATCTCTACCTTTTCATTACAGTGGACCCCCGATAATCCGGCCCCTGTCTAATCCGGCGCCCCTTGTCATCCGACATGTCTTTGAATGTTACATACATACATATTTGACAATCTTCGCTAATGATGATCGCGCAGGTTTGAACAGGTTACAACTTGTACGCGCCACCGCTATCGTGCTCGACGCGTAAGCATTGTTTTACTTAGTTTGAATTTGACTACATGTGATAGCGGTACGGCCTAGCGTGCGTTCATTGTTTACTATTTATTCATTGTGTATTAAGTATAGTGTACCTAGTAATGTCATCACAAACTCAGAAGCGAAAGTACAAAACATTGACAATTAAAGAAAAATGTGATATTTTAGACCGCTTAAATCGCAATGAAACTTTCAGTAGTTTAGCAAGTGAATACGGAGTAGGCCGATCTACAATTTATGACATTAAAAGAAACCACGGGAAGATCAAGAAATTCGTGTCAACTACTGACTGTGGGCCAGGCAAGAGACAGCTGAACATCCAGAAGTGGAAGAAGTTTTGTACATGTGGTTTCTCCAGGAAAGAAATAGGCATGCACCAATTTCAGGACCCATGTTGGCCATGAAAGCTAAGTTTTTTTATAAGAAAATAACAAAAAAAGATGATTTTGTGGCCAGCAAATGATGGCTAGAACGTTTTAAAAGTCGTCATGGCATACGTTTAATGACTATTACAGAAGAGAAACTTTCAAACGATGCCACCTGCATAGAGCCCTTTAAATTAAGATTTTTGCAAAAGGTGAACGATTTAAGTCTTGACCCGTCACAGGTGTACAATGCAGACGAATCAGAGCTTTTTTGGCGTGTGATGCATAACAAAACTTTCGTTTTTTGTAACGAAAAATCCGTACCTGGACGAAAAGTACGTAAAGAGCGTGTAACCATACTACCATGTGCTAAAGCTGCGGGCACACACGCGCTTAAGATGATGGTCATTGGGAAATCTAATAAACCACGGGCATTCAAAAACATTGATTTACCTGTACACTATTACGGACAAAAAAGTGCATGGACGACAAAAGACCTTTCCAAAAAGTGGTTTGATGAATGCTTCGTACCTGAAGTTAGAAAATGGTTAAAATATCATAATTTTCCTCAAAAAGCGTTGTTGCTTCTTAATAACGCTCCCGGTCATCCGTCTGAAGAAGAACTAACATCTGAGGATAAATGCATCACTGCGATGTTTCTTCCGCCAAATTGCACTGCACTGATTCAACCAATGGACCAGAATATCACTCAGTTTGTCAAGCAAGACTATAAGAAAAACCTACTTCTGAGAGCCGTATCAAAAGACCAACCAATAGAAAAAACATTAAAAGAATCTAATATTAAGACTTGGTTTTTGCTCTTTGTCAGTCGTGGAATGCGTTACCGTCATCAACTATTAAATCGTCTTGGAAAAAGTTTTGGCCAGATATAGTCACCACTCCTAGCAACGTTCCACAAATCAGTGTAACTTCGGAACTGAAACACAGATAAGTCCGGAAGATTTGGAAATCTGGTGCCGTGGAATGGATAAAGAGGAAAATGTTTTTCATGAAATGTCTGACGAAGAAATTATAAAAGAGGTTTCTAATTATACAACAAACAATCAGGAAAGTAACGACTACGTGATTGCAACTGCTCCACAAGTCACAGCACAAGACGCAATTAACGCTTTTGAGCTAGGTTTACAATGGGCTGAAGAGAATGGTACATCCTACAACAAGCTTTTACTTTTGAGAAGACTGAGGGACAAAGCTCTGATCTCGCGTTATAACAACCTTAAACAAAACAAAAATTGATGAATATTTCCAAGCTTCATAATTTGATAAATTCAATAATGATTACATAAATTCGTAAATTGCTCTCTATGGACTCTACCGTGTGAGGCCTCAATTAGTTATTATGATGTTAAAATTTCGTTGGATTATACTATCTTTTTCTAATCTTATTTGTAAGTCTCTTTAGCCTACCGTTGTTACTATCGCCAAGCAAGCATCATTAATTATCTCTGTTGGTATGTTTTTGAGAAACTCGTAAATAGTTTGAGAAGTATTATATTTATGGTAGTTTGCAGGATCTATATTTCTGATCAATTCCCTCGAATATAACTGGTAGTTCCTTTGGTACGCCAATAGACTTAGCGATGTCCCACTGAGCAAGATTGCGCTTCTGAACAAACCTAAAATGTTAATAAAAAAGCGATAATAGAGGAATGTTTCAGCAATCAGGGTGGTCCCAGAAGTATCCGTCTCAACGAAGAAAACACAAAATTTTTATAAAAAAATGTATTTATTTTTCAACATAATCTCCTTTGAGCTCTATACACTTTTCCCAGCGATGTTCAATAAGTTCGATACCCTTTTTATAATAAGATATCAGGCTCCTCAAAATAGCCATTAACTGCCGACATCACTTCTTCATCGTCAGAAAATCTTTGACCACTGAGCCATTTTTTCAAGTTTGGAAACAGAAAATAATCCGAGGGGGCTAAATCTGGTGAATAGGGTGCATGAGGTAGCAATTCAAACTTTAATTCGTTAATTTTGGCCATTGCAATAACGGATTTGTGAGCTGGTGCATTGTCTTGATTAAACAACACTTTCTTCTTAACCACATGCGGCCGTTTTTGCTTGATTTTATCGCTCAAACGTTGTAATAAGTTAATAATAGTCAATGAAAATTATCCCACGCGCATCCCAAAAAACCGACGCCATAACCTTGCCTGCAGATGAAACGGTCTTCGCCTTCTTTGGAGCCGGTTGTCCCTTTTGAGTCCATTGTTTTGATTGTTCTTTTGTCTCGGGTGTGAAGTGATGGACCCATGTTTCATCCATGGTTATGAAACGACGCAAAAATTCTTCTTTGTTGCTGTGAAACTTCGCTAAACACTCAATTGACACATCTTCACGGATTGTGAGCAATCGCGGCACCCATCTTGCACACAGCTTTCTCATGTCCAAATTTTCAGATAATATGCGATGAACCTCACTTTTTGAATTGCCTACTATGTCTGCTAGCTCGCGCACTTTCAGTCGACGATCATCCAGTACCGCTTTGTGAATTTTCTTCACCATTTCTGGAGTCGTCACCTCATTTGGTCGACCACTGCGATGCTCGTCTTGGCAGCTCATACGGCCTCGTTTGAACTCTGCTACCCAATATTTTACTGTTGTAAACGAAGGAGCAGACTCGCCCAGAGTAAAATCCAGTTCAGCTTTTATATTGGTTGGGCTGAGGCCTTTGAAATAAAAGTATTGTACCACATAACGATTACCAATTTTCTCCATTTTTACAAATTCACTGAAAACGTTCAGTATTAATGGCTGCCAAATAAATACTAAACAACGTGGCGTCTTCAAACTTGACACATATGCTTTATAGGTTGCATACTTTCTAATACAATGATATTTTTCAAACAACTATCGCCATCTCTAGGTCAGGCCGGGTACTTCTGGGACCACCCTCGTATGTTATGAGACAACAAATAACAGAAATTTCAAGAATATTGTTTTTTCTTCTTTATGTCAGTACTATCTATGTAGAATGGTCGGTTTCACAACCCGGTCGTTTTCTCAATATGCCCTATAACTTCACTGGTACAAAACTTAACTTATTTCATATCGTTGTACCTTTAGATAACGGACTCATAATCTGATAAGCACAAGAAGCAGAGCCAGCACTCTGACCAAAAATTGTAATTTTGGTTGGATCACCACCAAAATGATGGATGTACTGATTGGCCCACTTTAAGGCCAAATTCTGATCTTTCAATCCAGCGTTTCCAGGTACCAAATCATCTCCAGTCGAAAGGAAACCTGAAAGTTATTTTTGTTGTTAAATGTCTGAGTTTAAGTAATGACCAATAAAAAATAACCACAAACCACATGTTCTTACAGATATCAGAGGTATACCGGCTTTTTTCAACAGCTCAGCTGGCATTTCGTCAGCTCCAGTCAACTATCCATCTTTAAGCTCCTGATTGATAAATTTTACTTTTACATTCCGAAGAATATCGCTGATTCGAAAAAAATTTACGTCACAGAATAAGCAAAATTGAACCTAATCTGCCTCATCGTATTATGCAAAAAAAAACATGACTATCTGGGGGAGCTTCTGCCAGACGTAATATTGGAAAAAAGTCTGCACATCTGGTGCTTAATTAAAATAATAAAAACATTTATTTTTAGTCCAGGGAAAGGTCTGCAGGACCGGAACACGGATTTTATCTAGAAAAGTCTTGTGTATAGGTAATAACCTCTCAATTGATGCCTCAACAGTATTTCGTCCGATGAGCTTTAGTTTTTCAGATGTCGGAGAATGAAGAACGTCATTGTGATTTAATTACCCTCAAAATACTGTTTTTGAAGTCATGGTGTTGCGTATCTGGTTTATTTTAATGAGTTCTAGGGCAACCCTACATCTCATTTTTCATATAACCTTTTTCACGTTTTAGAATATAACTGACCTGACTAAGTAATACTAAAAAACGCCCGTTAGAGAAGAGTCATTGATCAGCCCTCCTCTCAACAACATCGAACATAGATAATGTAGTCGGGACTGCACTACCCCAAAGATGTGAGCAATACTCGAGGCTATTATGTATGCGTCGAAGGAAGAGACCAAACCAAAACAGTGATCATCGCGTGATTATTGCGTGATCAGTACACTGATATATTTCAAGAGAGATAACTGTTATTGGGCAGAATAGCTCGACCCCTTACACAGAACCAATGGCTAAACCGGAGAATGGAGTGGGAGACCGTGCATGCAGTCTGGCCCCAGTTGCCGGCTGTAAATGCTATAGTATATATATATATCTGAAAAGTCGAAATTTGGGGAGATATGTAAGTTCTCCAATTCCCATTAATTAAAATATAGTTTATTCAACTGCCTCTGGTCGGTTTAACAATTTCTTACATAACATTCTGAAAATCACATCATCTGAAGTGATTTGGCAACGTTTGGCACACGCCCACAATGCGTTCCATCTTTCAACACAGACATTGACAACCTTCGGCCTTCTGTCAAAGGTTCATCTCACTCATTATTCCATGACCACCATTTTGTGCAATCATCAAGTGGCTTCACGACGTAATGCTCTAATGTTTTTTAAATAATTTTTTAACTGTTTTTAACTTGTCTTGTCATATTTTATATAATTTTTGACCATTGTACCATGTATCCAGCTCTCACCATGTTACTGGACGTTTCCCTCATCCTATACGTAAACAACAATTAGCAACATCGTCACATACTACTGTAAGTTGAGTCAATTTAAATTCATTTTACACTTTTGTTGCTACTGTTATCATTGTAATTGCAGCTCCTGATGATGTTGGCAAAGTCCATTGAAAGCTAGAGAGAATTAAAAAAAGTATAAAGAGTCCTCTTTGCTTAAATTTTGTCGAAGTACCCAACAAAAGGCGGAAGCTTTAATTTTTCACCTAACTGGTCTAGACGACAATGACCACGTCTTAAGTTATATATATATATAGCTTTAATTTTTCACCTATATATATACAGTACAGAGTTGGCATCAGATTTATACTGGTATTACAGTGTGCTTATTAGACTTGTCAGTTTATATTTGTAGAACTCAAAATGTCGCATACGGATACAGCTGATGAAGTTGTTGATATTAGCTGCACACCACCTAAAAAAAGAGCTAAAAGGCTTCATTTTCGCGTTAGCGTATCGTATATATTATTATGTATTCAAATCATTTTTCTTTCAACTCCACCTAGATATTCATTTTTTAGTCTAATATTAAAATTAACTGTTTGCACACTGACGTCAATGTTCAAGCGGTGATTAGGTATTCTTGTATCCATATGCAATTATCGTTTTAATGTGTCAAGACATTTTTTAAAAACCTGCTTTATAAATGCGTCTTACGACACATTTCGAGAATAATTTCTTGATGAAACACTTCTACTAAAAGCAACAATAGACAAGTGTTTTCTTTATGGTCATGACAGTTAAATTAAAAAAATACATTAATCCCAACCTTATGTTTGGACCCTATACATGCCTGCAATAACTTTTTATTCTCAGTTCGGCCCTATAACGTGCTCGGCGTTCTGGAGCGCGATCACGTGGAGTATACGTGAATATGTTTTGGTTTGGTGTCTTTCTTCGATGGTTACATAATAGGTCTTATCCAGGCTTTGTCCAGGGTTATAAGGTACTGCTAAGGGGTTCCAAAAGTCCGCCGTTATTTTTACGTCAAAATTATCACTCTAATGTTGAGTTTGCTACCATGATCCAACGAGGGACTTTTTGAAAGTTCCTGTATAAAAAACTGAAAACAGGAATGATTAAAAATATATGAAAAACAATATGTAACATCAATTAGGCATGTAACTTAAAATAATATAATATAATCCACGCCATGAGTGGATAAAACCAGTATTTTGCAGCGTTATTAAATTGGTCAGTTTCTCTCGAACTGAAGTGCTTTGGACGAAATGCTAATAAGTGATGTGGGAGCTCAAGACTAGGGATGCACAGAGTATTCGATTTGTACCCGGTAGCCTATTTTCTAGAGTTTCGCCGAGTATTGAGTTACTCTGCCGAGTAATCACTTGGTCTGAACGCAAGACACACAAGTTGTGTGAATCTAAGAATTGCAGCTATGATGTCCAAACTCTGAGCTGATATGTCTTTTTCTAATCTTACATAAAAAACAGCTAAGGTTGCAACATATTTTTGCTAAAATCATTTTACTGTTATTCTAGCAAATGCCGACTGTCTTCTCTAGTAAGCTAGCTAGTGTATTTACGGTATTTGCGTAGCAAATTTTTTATACTCAAGGTGTAGATACTCAATACTTTTTAATACAAAATATGGTAGTCTAAATAACGAGTATCCCGCATTTCTACAAAGAAAATCTCGTATAAGGATCTTAGGCTTAGTACCTCTGAATTGGTTCCGCCACATCACGCAGTTTTAATTTGTCGCTTTTTACAACTTCTTCCTTAAGGCAGTTCAGAAACCTATAAAAATAAGTGTTAGTGTTCGTGATGGCCGAGATATGGCAGCGATTCGATAACGTAAATTTTTCGAAAATTGAGTACCTTGAGGCCTCGTATTGTCTATTTTACAAATGTGCTTCTTTTATACCAGGAGGAATTGAAAAGCTTATCAAAAATAAATATTCCAAAAATGTGATGCCAAAATATTCAATTTCAACTCAATCTCTGCTGAATTCTACAGTGAAAAACATACCGGGTGATTCACCAGTCGTGACCAAAAATAAAACATCATACACAACCCCGCATTTTAGTATGTGGATTTACCTAAGTATTGTCGACATTCAAAAGTGTTTACTTAAAATTAATGTGCACCAGTGGCGGAGATACAGGGGATTAGTGGCATTATTTTTACAAATAAAAATAGTACATCACTGTTGTACTAAAGTGCAACCTGGAATGACTGTTTGCATCATAAAAACGTTGGTTGACAGTGAAGTTACAGTTAACTTGCGATTGAAAATCCAGGCTTAACAGTAGTTGAAATATCGCAGAGCAGAGTACCCGGTACTCGGTGCTTTGGAAAAAATCACTACTCGGTGCCTCCCTAGTCAAGACCTACACCAAGGATTTTTTGGGCGAAAACCATGTTCCGCGTCCGGAAATCCCTTCTTTGGAGTCATTGTCCTTACCATAAGGTCCTACTCTGTAGTTGATTGTAACCAGAACAACGTCCTGCTCAATTAAGAAATCAGGACCATAGGAGTTAGAGGCACCCGCGACGAATCCCCCTCCATATATAAAAAACATCACTGGCAAATTGTCAGTAATCTGTAGATATTAAATCGACATCAGTTATCTTTTACCGCGTAATAAGCAGTATAATATTGTGAAAAGAAAAAAAATATTAGTCTGCTCATAGTAGTGATTTTCCGCCATTTTAATGACTGCTACTCACATTGGGTGTATAGACATTCACAAATAAGCAATCTTCACTTTGATTGGGAGGCGTATAACTCATCTGATTGCATATGTTGCCGAATTTCGTCGCATCCCAGATTCCTTCACATTTCTTCTTTGGGACTGGTGCCTAAAAACCAGATGTGCATAAAGGCGAATCAAAAATGCTCCACGTAGCAACGTCACTCATTTTTGAGCTTTCTTACAGTGCTTTTCAAAAAGGAAACCCTCTAATTAAGGAGTTAAGTGGCAGAGTAGCATTATGCTAAACTTCACCCCCTAAATAAAGACGATTTTTTATTATTATTATTTATCTCTTGAACGGACCAAATTAGAAGGATGGATAGATTAATGTATGGATATTATATTTTAGCATGAAAGTAATAAAAGTCAATCCTTGAATATAAAACTACCATCCCCAAAAATAGCGAATCGGCATGATGTCAAAACGAGCGTAGTTTTTTATATCAATCTCTTCTTCTCTTGGAGGCGTCTACTGAAATATGTAATAAAATATGAAACATTCTATTAAAAAAGTGTAAAATTGGCCATTTGTATTAATCAGAATATTTTATTGCTCATTTAGAGAGACCCTTACAAAAGGAAATTATTGATATAACATACTATGAAGTTTTGACGATTATTTGTTGAGCTATAAGCGATTCAATGTATACTAAGTGACATATAAATCCGAACACCCAGTTTAAATGGTTTTATTTTAATAAAATTTTGTATAAGTACTTAATGAAGCATAATAAGTAAATGATAAAAATTTCAAAATGATTGCACTGCTTTAAAGCCCTTTGACCTTTAATAATGTGTGGACGCACCCTGATGTGCTACGCATTCTCCAACGCGCCTAGGCATGCTTCTGATCAGGTGGTCAATGTCCTCCTGTGGTATCTCATTCCAGGCAACCACTAACTCCTCTCGAAGTGCTTCTAGAATCTGAGGAGGACGTTGCAAATTGAGCAATCTACTACCCACGTGCTCAATTGGGGATAAGTCGGGAGATCTTGGTGGCGATGGTAACAATGTGACATCATTATGTTGAAAGAAGTCTATTGTGACTCTTGCAACATGTGGTCGGGCATTATCTTGTTGGAAAGTTGGATCTGCCAGGGTGTCAAGATAAGGTAAAAGATGGGGTTCTAGAACTTCGTGGATATAACGCTGCGCATTCATGTTACCTCTGATGAAGATTAAAGGTGACCTGGAACCATAAGCTATAGCACCCCAAACCATAACTCCAACAGTGTGATGAACATGTCTTTCAACAAAAAACTGTGGATTCCTCCTTTCACCACGTCATCTTCTAACCCTGGCACGGCCATCGTGCATGCCTAAACAAAATCGAGACTCGTCACTAAAGACAATACTGTTCCATTCCTGATCCCAGAGTGACCGTTGTCTGCACCACTCAAGGCGATTACGTCGGTGTTCTCGAGTTAAAGGGAGGACCCAGTGTGGCCGGTATGAAAACAAGCCAAAACTTCTCATTCGTCGGTAAACACTTCGCATGCCAATAGGTCTTCCGTGTTCTGCAAACCATTCATTTGCAATGGACCTGGTAGTGGAGAAACGGACCCTCAAGGCCAATAATCTTAGGCGGCGATCGTCACGGTCTGTTGTTCTACGGCGGCGTCCAGTGCCCCTTGCTCTTTGCGTACGGCCTTCTCGAAGCCATGCCCGATAACACCTAACCACAGTGTCTACACGTCTTTGCACTGTAACTGCAATTGCCCGAAAAGAAAGTCCAGCTTCCCGAAGTCCCACTATACGGCCCCTATCAAACTCACTAAGTTGACGAAATCGTACAGGTCTCCGCACTCTAGGCATCGTAACCGATCGTAAAGGATGTCAAGAACCAAAATCCGCCAACGTTGATTCTTTACTGCGGCTGAAATATTCATTTTTAGAGCGTTAGTGAATTAAAAAAAAGCAGTATAAAAACCGGAATGTCCAACTGATAAGGCTGAAAATTTTTTCACTTTTTATTTACAGTAAGATAAATACATTCAACACTTTTTATAAAATTAAATTAAAATAAAACCATTTAAACTGGCTGTTCGGATTTATATGTCTCTTAGTATATAAAAACGCTCAACTTTGAAAAGTGCCAAATTTGGAAGATAGTGTTTTTATATTCTGGAACTTCCACTTTGACGCTAAAACATAGGATTCATGCTTGAATTTCAGCTTTCTAGCTTGATTTATTCTAAAAAGAAGTGGGGGACATTTTTGAAATGCACTGTTGGATTATGCTGTTCTTGAGTGTGTGAAAAATTGCTGAGCAACGCAACAAAAACGACAAGCTTTGGCAGCAAGCCAGTCCGCCATTTTAAAAGATAGTTATTTTATATCCTAGGTCTACAAATTACTTATAAGGAGCTTTAAAGTTAGGCACAACACGACCTCTCATTCCACTTAGAGAAAATGTTCTGATGGCGCACTCAGTCATTTTAGAACATTTATGCTAAAATATAATATAACCCTGCATTTCAGCTTGCTGACCTGGCCCGTCCAAAAATAATTCGGAAGTGGTGACCTTTTTGAACAGCGCTGTATAAGATTGACCGATCGAAAATAAAGACGGTTCATACTGAGCTTACCTGGAATCTCAAATCGCCGACTGGTTTCTCAGCATACGGTATTCCTTGGAAAGAGTAGAATATTACCCCTTTAGCGGTAGACTTTACTAATCCCTTTACCGTACCAACTGGCAGTTGCACTGTTACATCTTCTGCCTAAAAATTTCAGGTCATGATCTATCTTAACCCCTGAAGTGGTAATGACGTATATATGTATATTCGCCAACATATTTTTTATCCATGTTGATTATGACGGATATATACGCCAAGAATATTTTATTGAGGCCGTGCATGGCTATCACGAATACGTTCGCCTGTGATGATTCCACCGTACATATTATAAGAAATAAGAAACAATTATTACTTGTGTTTGTGATACCGGAAACACCAAAAGTTGCTGTCTGCCGCCATTTGATTTCGGTGTAAGGTAGCAGTCATTATTGCGTGGTTTTATATACCGGCTGTTTCCTGCTTGTTTGTGTTCAAACGTTAAAAGTACTTTTGATAATGGCTAGTTCTGATGTTGAAATGACTACAGATGATTCCAGTGATGATGAGAGTCAGTGCACTAGTTCTGACGAATCAGATGACGATTCTAATTTCAACGAGGATTTTGAAGAGAGTGATACCGAAAGTCAACAAGAACCTGATCATGATCCAAGTTTTGAAATTCCCTGGACAGAGAACGGGATTCCAAGGCCAGCGTTCCATTTTACGTCAAACAGTGGTGTGCAAGTAAACAATTTAAAGGATATAATGCGAATTTTTGAATATTTTTTAGATGATGATCTAATAGATATAATAATCAGAGAAACAAACAGATATGAATCGCAGTATACGAGGGATGTCTTTTAAGTTTTGTATATGGAAATAAAACAAGACGGTAGGTAGTTTTAAAAGACTTTATTGTTTTTGGAAGTATTCTCCAAGAAGATTAATACACATCTGCATGCGCTCGAACCAATTTTCGAAGCACTTATTCCACTCGTTTGCTGGCAGATCCAAAACGGCATTTTTGAATGCGTCAACTGCTTCTTCTGGTGACTGGAATCTTTAACCACGCATTCTGTTTTTAATTTCCGGGAAAGTAAAGAAATCGTTAGGACTTAGATCGGGACTATATGGAGGATGGTCCAATAATTCCACGTTTTCTTCCGTTAAATACTGCCTTGTTTTTTGGACTGTGTGCGAGCTTGCATTATCTTGGTGGAGGATGATTCTTCTTTCGGGGTTGATTTTTTGTAGCTCGGTGATGACTTTTGGAAAACAAATGGTGGTATACCAATCCGCAGTAACAGTTCTTTGCTCATTAAGAGGAATTGTTGCAATATGACCCGCATTTGACACAAATGTCGCGACCATCTTTTTCGAAACACTTTCGAGAACGGATGACTTTTGTTAGCTTTTATTCACCTTGGAACACCCAAACAGCCGACTGTCGTTTATTTTCTGGTTCATAACAGTAAATCCACGATTCATCACCCCTAACAATGCTGTACACATTTTTTGGGTTTACGGAATTGAAACGGTCAAGCGTTTTTTCACACCAATTAACCCTGGCTGCTTTCTGCTCTTCAGTCAACAGGTGGGGTATCCAACGAGAAACTAATTTTCTTACTCCTAATTCTTCGTGTAAAATTTTTTGAATTGAGGTCTTTGAGATCTTTAGGGACGCCTCAATCTCGCGATATGTCACATGTCTATCTTCAATGATGAGTTTGCGCACAGCATCGACGTTTTCCTGGGTGACTGCCACCCTGGGATCGTCGCTAAGACTCACCCGTCCACGTTTGAATTCTCCATATCAACGGGAAATTGTCGACTGATATGGTGCTTCGTTGCCTAAAACAGACAGTAACTCAGCAAGGCATTCTTTTGCGATAATTGTCTCTGAAAGTTGTAATAAATTATGGCGCAAAAATGTTCTCGGTTGAGTTCCATTTTGCTAATGACTTGGTGACACTTAAAAATTCGCTGTAGTAAGAATATTGCACGTATTGTTGTGAAACTTTGAATTTAAGTTTACTAAAGAGTGAGGTTAAGATTCAGTACTGATGTTCGATCCGCGCGGCGTACTATGTTTCTATATGCAAAACTTAAAAGACATCCCTCGTATTTCTTCGAATCGAGATAACCTCAAGCCAAATTCCCGAGCTAAAAAATGGTTTGATAGTAATGAAATTAGGACCCTTATCGAGTTGCTAATACTACAGAGCATCTGTCCTAAGCCTCAGTACAAAATATACTTTTCACGACGAGAGAGCATCGAGACTCCTTTTTTCTCTAAAGTTATGATTTCATTTGTTGCTAAAGTTTTTAAACTTTGTAGATAATTTTACTATAAATTCACATACAAAAACCTCAAAACTGATAAAAGTTTTACCAGTTTTGGATTTGATGAAAAAAAAAGTATATGTCAGCTTATATACCAGAACAAAACATTGCCATAGATGAGTCCTTGACAGGATGGAAAGGCAGACTTGCTTGGAAACAGTACATACCTGTACCTCGAAAAGGAAACGATTTGGCATGAAAGTTTTTGCCTTATGTGAAAGTCGCAATGATTACATGTACAACTTTACAGATACTGAATACAATGCTTTGTAAATAAATGAACCACTTACTTCGAGGGTAGTGTTGACATTGATTCATCCTCTTTTAGATAAGGGATACCGCCTGTTTTTAGATAATTCTTATACAAGCATAGACCTGTGCGACAAACTAGTAAAAAGAAGGACGGATAGCGTTGGCACAATGAGAATAAATAGAAAAGGAATACCACGGGAATTAAAAGTAAAATTGCAGAGAGGAGAAATTGTAGCGCGTTTTAGAAAAAACTCATGATTCAGAAATAGGGCGACAAGAGAGACGTCCTTATGATAAGCACAGTCCACAATGACAGCATGAAGAAAATTGCAGCAAGGAGTGGGGACATTGAAAAGCCATCTTGCGTAATCGATAACAATGCCAGCAGGGGTGGTGTTGATTTATCTGACAATTACCTCCACTTTTATGGAATTGCTCGTACTAGAGTTAAAAAATACTGCATGAAGATGTTTCTCCATTTTTTAAGTGTCACTACGTTGAATGCCTTTCAAATTTGTTAGAAGAATGGCGGAAAGCTAAAAAGACTGAACTTTTTACTGGAGCTGGGTGAGAAGATAATGGATAAATACAGAAAAATAGAACGTCTAGAACGCCAATGCCCACAAGATTGATTGACATTTTCGATCAATAATACCACCAACAACAGGAGCAAAACCGACAAAAAGTCAAAAACTTATCACTTTACGTTTATCTTATTGCGTTTTTCTTTACTTCGGATGCGTTGTATGTGCTGAAAGAAAGCAGCGAAAAGAGAGTCGTTATTGGTGCCTAGAGTGTCGTACTGATCTCTGTCCTGCACCTTGTTTTGGGATATACAGGTAACATACGAAAGAATAATTTTTTCTACTAAATAGTAGTAGTAGTCGGCTGTATTTTGTTTTTAAATAAATAAGTTTCAAGTAATTTTATGTACATTACTTGTTTAAAAACAATAGGTACTAACCATGGTGGCTTTTCGTACATGTACGCATTTCATTTAAAGTAACCCAATTCACGTGACTTTGACGAATATGTACGCCTGGGCTTCTATTATCAGTGGCAAAGACGAATATGTACGCAAGCGGTAAAATGACGTGCCACCTGAAAAGTCATCGCTGAAAGCAGCTACGGCCACTTAAGGCGGCTCCGACGCAGTGAGTTTCAGGCCATTTACAAGGGTTCAGCTGCTTCGAAACTGACACTCCATTTTTCAATATTTTTGAATGAAATTCATATAGTATGTTGAGAAGATAATTGCCCAGGGTGCTGTAGGAGCACTTTTTGATATTTTGTTTTTGCACAAGGTTTATGATGGGTTGACGTGCGCACTTTTTCTGTTCAACTTCGCGATTTTTTTGAAAAGAACCTAATGAAAAAAATGAAAAAGTGACTCTATAGTACTCTGTGGGGTTTTGTTTTCAGCACTTTGTGAAAATTTAATCCAAAAATATCAGAAAATAGAGCGTCAATTTCGAAGCGCGCAAACCTCTACAAATCGTATTTTGGACGAACTCTGTCTGCTGTTTCGTACTGCCAAACCAAGCGTTGCGGCGCAATGTACGGACTTAGAAAGGACGTATTCAGATAATTTGGTGGCCCTATTTCATATAATATCGCGTAGATAAGTCGTTCTGCAAATAGGTACTCATAATCGCGATCGCTGATACTCCTCGATTTTAAAGCCGTTTTACTTCCCACGTCTTTTTCGAGGAAGTATTGTAATCGCAAAAAATTTCTAAAATGAGATGTTATCTTTTTTTTAAGTCATATGACATCTACATCACGAAAAACTGTATCACTCATCGTCAACTTTGATTTAACTCTGAGCTCATACTATAGATGATAGCGCTGCCTATGCGATCAGCTTGATGTAGGAAAAACTTCGCGCGCGCTTAAGCTGTGAGCAAATTTGATAAAAAATACTTTTTGATGGACCAGTGGCGGATTTAAGGAAAAGGACCCGGTCGGCAATATGCACTGAAGGGGCCCAGTGGTATGATCCGGAACAGACGGCAAATAGTGCGCACTATAACCGTTTTGCGAATAACATAAATTACTGCAATTATTGACAAATAAAATACTGCAATGGAAACTTTGAAAGTTGCATGATAACACAGAAATTAATAACAAAACTTAATGCGTAATGTCATGTTAGTGCAATCATACATTAGCCTAGTTTTTGCATTTAATAGTACGCACGGGCACGGGACAGGTTGTAATGCGTAATAATTTTTTGAGGTAAATTAAACTTGATGATTCACCAGCAAACTTCTTGTGCATAATAGAGTTTAAAAGTAATGACGGATGCTACCGATAAGTAAAGGGCGTCGAGTCAAATTTGGAGTGCACGCTATTTATAGAACTTGCATAAATTATAATTAAGAAAAAAACAAGTATATTCGATAGTTGTTGTCATGTGATTAATATTTCATTGAATACAAACTTGGTGAACAACACTAAAATACGTTAAATAACGTGCATTACTACAGGATATATACTGGGCACTATTTGCGAAAGTAATATTCACATTTATCGCTATTTGCATATTAATGACGGCAACTGAGAATAAAAAAATTAGAAAGTCCTGCACAAGTGACCGAAACAAGCTCATAGATAGTGCAAAAAGTTTTTTAATAGTAACTTGATGCAAAAAGTTAATCAGCTAATTCAGCTGTTTCAATATTCATGCGGATATAAAATTTTTCGATAACGTAAAATCCATCTAAATTGTTCAGATAAAATTCGAACTACAAGGTTTGCTGACAATTATGATGTCGCATATTAACAGGGGCTTAAAATTATATGCATAATAGTAGCTGCTGCGCACTGTTACCTCTGTTTTTTTACTAAATGTCTATATAACCTGGATCAAGTAGAGACTGTGAGATCAAACATTTTTTATTCAATACAAAATAACAGAGTTATCCTAATTCGAATCCGCGTCTTACTTTTCGTTCAGCAAAAACTTCCATCGCAGAATCCAAATTGAGTGTATTAGCTACTGAACTCTCGATATAGAGTTTAGAGAAGTTGTTGAGTGTGTCTTTAGCCAAACAAGCTCGACGGTATTCTTTAATAATTTTCAAAGAGCTCATGACACGTTTAGCACAAGCAGAAGTCAAAAACAATCTGAATAAACTGCAGCTCTCTGGAAAAATGTCTACAAAATTGTTTGCAATCATGAACTTAAAATAATCGGGCGGCCTGTCGTTAGTAAAATTACGAATTACGAAATCCTTCAGTACGTTCTTTCAATTCGTTACTCATTGAATCCAAAACTTCGCAGTAATTTATTCGATGTTTTTCGTGTGTTTCCAGTGGCGAGTCAGCAGCTTTTTCGTCAAAAATTTTTTTGATTTTCCTCTTTCTGGCAGTGGGATAACCAGGATTTTCCCATTCCATCTCTTCCCATTTATTCTTAGCCTTCAGAACAAAATTATCGTAAGTGCTTTCGCTCCTCAAATCTTTTAATTTTTTTATGCTGCTGAAATGCACCTTTGAGCCATCATCAAGTCTATTTCTTTCTTTTGCATTTGAGCTTGCACGGTATTCATTACGCTCAATACTGAGTGCCACCATAACAAATTGAAAAAAAAGGTCCAGTTCATGGAGGAAAGGAGAGATCTTGCATTCATTATATCTTCGCCAGAAGCTCCCACTCTTGAAATTTCATCTTCTATACAATTGATAATACATTCAAAAAATTTCTTCCACGATATTATCGCGAAGAAAATAGATATGTCATTAAATAAAAAAACGCACAGTATTGTGAAAGTTTATGGTTATAAGCATTGAAGACGTGAAAAGACTGTAATAGACGCATTAGAGTCTGTATTAGACTAAAAGAGGCTGATTATATATATCACTGTAAGCACAAAATGAAAAAATAACCCCCCACTCCTTGAAAAATAAAAGGGTCATTCGGTAATTTTTTTAGAAATGTAAGCTTACGAAATATCTCAAACACTTTTTTTTATTTTTTTTTGCATGCGAGCCCAACCCTGTAGCACGAAAACTTTCCAGAAGTTACACAAGGCAGCTGAGTGTGACTCAACGCGACAGCCCTTACGCCTGTTTACATTATACATTCCATTCCTTCGCTGGGTACCTGCTCCCAGGATACACTTTGATAGTCTGGCGTAGATGCATTTCAATTATCGCGTGAATCACATCGCTTCTCAGTCCAAGTAGAGTGAACTTCATTACGGTGTTGATGTGCTATTGGGTGTGGTGTTTTAGTTACCTGAAAGGTGAGCTATCACTGAGTGTTTCCTTTATTCTACTGTACTGCATGGATTGATAACCATAGTAGTTTCATATTCATGATCATGAATGTCTTAAGCCATGTTTATAAAGATGCTATACTTTTTACCTTCATAATTTAACTTATGGCTTACGACTTGTTATCGAATATCCGCAGGTGGGACGCCTCCAGGTTCTGGGGGTTGTTATGGGACTTTCGGAGCCCGTTTGCTGGGTTGAGGTAGTTATGTTACTTACTGCTCGGTTTCCTCTACCAGGGGAAATGTCGGAGCGCTTTGGATGTTGACACGATGGCCTTTGGTCGAAGTGGCATCCTTGGTCTTAATGACCGCTTAACTATCTTCACTTGGCAATCGTTGGAGTCTGAATGTATCTCATGGCAGGATATGTGAAGGGATTGTTACTTTAATGATAGTCATATTGCTCGGTTACCTCTGATTCAGGGGTAATGTCGGAGATTTGGGGTATTGACACAACGGCCCTTGGTCAGCGTGATATCCCGGTTCCTGGACTGTCTTTTTGTAACAATCGTTAAACTCAGCACGTCTGACCATACACCTAGCGACCAAAGAGTTATATTGAGTCTGTCGTGATGACTCCTATTGAGTCTGTGTGATGACTCCTATTAAGTCTGTCGTGATGACTTAACGACCAGTCTGTCGTGATGACGGTCAGGATCAGTCTGTCGTGATGACGGTCCCGTGATTCAGTCGATGACGAATCCGTAATAGTAGTTGGGGTACATTAATGTAATGGTAGATAGTAGATTTGTGCATGTGTTGTCATGAGTCGGTTGAATACGGGAGATACTCATAAGTCTTTTTCTAAAAATAGGTGTTGGCCCCGACAATCCAATCATATCGCCCTTATCGCTTGCCAAAGGAGGATAACTCGTTGTCGTTTCGTCACCAAGTAAGTGACTTTAATACTACCCTGACATTGTTGCCCATATCGAATTGTTTACGTACTGCCCGTGTAGTAAAAATGTAATGGTACGGGGCGGTACTTCGAAATCTTCTAAGATGAGATGTTTTCACGGTTATCGTTATATTGCTATTTTCATATTATCAATTTCGTATCCTACATATTTTCTCAGAAGTGGGATCTGACACTTATGTGCCTGGATCTGACACTTATGTGCCTGGATCTGACACTTATGTGCCTTGACCTGATAGTTATGGGCTTCTGATGCTGTTGGTATTTGGTCAAATGTCAGGATTGTCTTGTAAATACAAAGAAGCAAAGTCTTATGGGAAACTCTTGATCCGTCGTACTTCTTCATATTTTTGTCTCATATGGATTTGAGCATCTGGTTGTCAAATATTCGAAGTCTGATCATGGTCTCAAAAAAAAAATATTCCGTTCATCGTCAATGGGTTGTGCCACGAGGTATGCGTCATCAAGTAGTGAAAGCGGCTCATGATGATTTTTTTTCACTTTGCCGTGGACAAAACATTTTATCGTTTAACGGATCACTACTGGTTCCCAAGGATGAGGAAGTATGTGGAGAAATATATTTCTTGCTGCATCCCATGCTTGTATAACAAGAAACCAGCTGGTAGAAAGGAAGGGTTCTTGCACCCGATTCCGAAAACTCCAACTCCTTTCTTCACGTTGACCACATGGGACCATTCCCAAAGAGTAGGAAAGGCAATTGTCACATTTTAGCGATAATTGATGGGTTCACGGAATTTGTCGCACTGAAGACCGTAAAGTCTACAAAGACTAAATATGTGATAGATCACATCACAACCCTGTCAGCGACATATTATGGAGTACCTAGAGTACTAATCAGTGATCAAGGAAGCTCGTTTACAGCCAAGAAATTCAGAGATTTCTGCCATCAGAACAATATTAAACATGTTCTGAATGCTGTAGCGACGCCCAGGGCAAACGGACAAGTAGAGCGGTTAAATCGGACGTTGCTGAACGCTTTACTTACATCGACGGTGGAGGAAGACCTGTGGGACAGAGAACTTCCAAATGTTCGATTTGCCATAAACAACGCCCCAAATAAGTCTACAGGGAAAACTCCAAGTCAACTTTTATTTGGTTATGGACCTCGAAAAGGTGTGGATATGGTTCTAAAGGTCGAAGTTAGTCAAGTCCACATACTCCTCGAAGACCTTGTTGCCACAAGGTAGAGAGCTGCCCGAAAAATAGAGGCAGCTCAACAGAAACAAAAAGCCAGTTTTGACAAGAAGCGGAAGGCTCCGCGGAAATATAGACCAGGCGATTTAGTCTTGGTCGAAAAGCAGAATCCTGCTACGGGGGCGAGTCGGAAATTACTGTCACCTTATAAAGGGTCCATTGGTTGTTAAAGCGGCTTTGCCTAACGATAGGTATGTTGTATCGGACATGGGGGGATCGCACCGTACCGGGAGAAAGGCGAATTATGAGAGGACGGTTGCGGTGGACAGGATGAAACCTTGGTGTACACCAGGAGGTGTTTCGGACGACACGGGTAGCGAAAGTGGTGACGATGGGGTCCCACTTCCAGCGTCGTCGGGCAGCGAATGATCACCTCGGGGCGAGGTGAATGTCGGATGGCCGAATGTAAGCTTACGAAATATCTCAAACACTTTTTTTTATTTTTTTTTGCATGCGAGCCCAACCCTGTAGCACGAAAACTTTCCAGAAGTTACACAAGGCAGCTGAGTGTGACTCAACGCGACAGCCCTTACGCCTGTTTACATTATACATTCCATTCCTTCGCTGGGTACCTGCTCCCAGGATACACTTTGATAGTCTGGCGTAGATGCATTTCAATTATCGCGTGAATCACATCGCTTCTCAGTCCAAGTAGAGTGAACTTCATTACGGTGTTGATGTGCTATTGGGTGTGGTGTTTTAGTTACCTGAAAGGTGAGCTATCACTGAGTGTTTCCTTTATTCTACTGTACTGCATGGATTGATAACCATAGTAGTTTCATATTCATGATCATGAATGTCTTAAGCCATGTTTATAAAGATGCTATACTTTTTACCTTCATAATTTAACTTATGGCTTACGACTTGTTATCGAATATCCGCAGGTGGGACGCCTCCAGGTTCTGGGGGTTGTTATGGGACTTTCGGAGCCCGTTTGCTGGGTTGAGGTAGTTATGTTACTTACTGCTCGGTTTCCTCTACCAGGGGAAATGTCGGAGCGCTTTGGATGTTGACACGATGGCCTTTGGTCGAAGTGGCATCCTTGGTCTTAATGACCGCTTAACTATCTTCACTTGGCAATCGTTGGAGTCTGAATGTATCTCATGGCAGGATATGTGAAGGGATTGTTACTTTAATGATAGTCATATTGCTCGGTTACCTCTGATTCAGGGGTAATGTCGGAGATTTGGGGTATTGACACAACGGCCCTTGGTCAGCGTGATATCCCGGTTCCTGGACTGTCTTTTTGTAACAATCGTTAAACTCAGCACGTCTGACCATACACCTAGCGACCAAAGAGTTATATTGAGTCTGTCGTGATGACTCCTATTGAGTCTGTGTGATGACTCCTATTAAGTCTGTCGTGATGACTTAACGACCAGTCTGTCGTGATGACGGTCAGGATCAGTCTGTCGTGATGACGGTCCCGTGATTCAGTCGATGACGAATCCGTAATAGTAGTTGGGGTACATTAATGTAATGGTAGATAGTAGATTTGTGCATGTGTTGTCATGAGTCGGTTGAATACGGGAGATACTCATAAGTCTTTTTCTAAAAATAGGTGTTGGCCCCGACAATCCAATCATATCGCCCTTATCGCTTGCCAAAGGAGGATAACTCGTTGTCGTTTCGTCACCAAGTAAGTGACTTTAATACTACCCTGACATTGTTGCCCATATCGAATTGTTTACGTACTGCCCGTGTAGTAAAAATGTAATGGTACGGGGCGGTACTTCGAAATCTTCTAAGATGAGATGTTTTCACGGTTATCGTTATATTGCTATTTTCATATTATCAATTTCGTATCCTACAGAAATTAAATAGTCATTATTCAAAAAATTTCTTAAGAAATGAAAGGGAAATTTTCTTATTCAAACTGAATGCTAACGCGCTGTTTCATAAATATTACGTAAAAGGTCATTAAAAGAAAATAATAAAATAGTCTGATTTCTTGTTATCAATCTACATTCAGAAGCGCTGAACAATATAGACACTAGAGCTGATTTTTGGGGCCCTGTGACCACCCTTCCTTGGGGGGCCCAGGCGGCAATGTCCATTTTTCCAATACTTAAATCCGCCACTGTGACGGACAAACCCACAAAAAAGTTTCGGGATTCGAAGGAGATGGTAAGTATTAATGTTAATCGATTCGCAGAAAGACCAACAAGAAGTAAAAATTTTGTTATTCAACAATAAATTGTTAATTTTTAAATTAGATTTAATATTTTAATTACTTTTAGACTGTACTCTAAGGGTACAAGGGTAGGGTTGTCATCTGCCATCCGTCCGCCAGTCAAGTTTTTAATTTTTATGTCAGAGGCACTGGATCCGCCGTTGCGTCGGACAACAAACCACCACCGTACTTGAGCTTCTTTGCACCCTAATGGCCATTGTACAATGTAGTGTACAATGATCGAATGCCTAAAGCATAACTATCCCTAACTTAAAAATCACAATAACCATTTTATCTATATGGTTGAAAAGATGACTCTAACCTAAACAAACATATAGCTAAAATTTTTTTAATGAATTAATTATTAGTAGGTGTTCTTTTTTCTATCTCACTTTGTATATTCCCAAATTCCATATCTGTGGTATATACTTTTCTGTTAATGATCAAATTGAAATTATATATCGCAAATTAGATATTTCGGTCGAGAGCTTCCGTTCATACAAAAACACTTGAAAATAGTAATATCAGTGAGGTATACGGTATACTTGTATTTTTTAACCCTCAAGCTACGTTTCCACTTCAATAAAACACGCCAACATGTACCAGAAACAAAAACGGTTTGCAGCATTTAACGGCACAGACGCCGGAGACTTCAAGTGAATGTGGTGCGCAACATCAGCTGGTACGTTACAGCCGTTTGAATGTTTTCGACTGTCCCTAAATGAGTTCCCTTGAGGTGATTTTTCAACTTCCAGAAGAGAAGAAAATCACAACGACACAAGTCAATAAGGAGTCTGTGAAGCCACAGGAATATTTTTACTAGCCAAAAACTCGTTTATTGACATTGATGTGTGACAATGAGCATTATAGGGATGCAACACCCATTTGTTCTGACTCTGACTGTAAACCGACGATCTGTTGATATTTTCATCGGTTCTTGAAGATGATGGCCGTACGGTTCGAGATTCATCTCCAATCGACTCTCTACCTTCTGAAAATGCCTTAAACCACCGAAAAACCTGAGCACTTGGCAAAACACTTTCTCCGTAGGCAAGAGTTTCTGTTGCAGAACGTAGCTCGAAATTTTTGTCAATCATTTTTAGAACACATTAAAAATTGCTACGGACAGCTCGAGCGGATTCAAACTTGTATTCAAGGCAGATCACATGTTCCCCTATCTCCCCTCCGAGCCCGGCGCCTCCACTGATGCCAGATGGAACGCTATGTTGCCAGACTCCTCACAGACGTATGCTGGCCTTGAGAATTTGGGCTTACCACCTGGGCACTTTTCATGAATACATAGAATCTGATTGGGATGCCCATTCACTCTCTTACGCTGAATCCGTCCGTCGACCAATCAGCGTCAAGCTGTCCGGTCTCGCTATCAAGCCACAATTTTGTGATAGTGTGTTCACTTTCTGGTTTGACAATGTTCACGTTGTCTCATTAACGAGACATTAGGATATACTCAACTATATAACTTAGAAGTGTATAATCTAAACAGTATTCCATTTAGTTTGAGATGGCAATCTCAATTTCCTCAAAAATCGTCTACATGACAAACACAAGGAAATAATAAAACCGGAAAAATAAGCATCTTAATGGTAACAAAAATGTTTATCAAATACGTTTTTATAATATTTTCTCAAAAACAAAATGGCATCAAGTAGATTGACTCTATACCTTTCATGCCTTCAAAACAGCTTTTAGCACAATTTTCCATGGACTGCAATGGCATAAAAAAGACGTAGGTTTTGTCAGAAGCAATGGTGCACTATTTGGGTTTTTGGTATACATTTTTTTTGTCAACAATGTTTGATACCTGATAATATGTATATACTGTATGTACTATATAATATTACCTCGCGAAATCAACCAACCAATTGTTCACTTTGCCAGGTTTTCCCCTGTGTCTTTTAAGGATGTTAAAACATGCAAAATTAAATCATGTGGCATGTCAAAAATCAATATTTAAATGTAATTTTCAATAATAAACAATAAAAGATAAGACTAATATGATTCTTTTGTTTACGTTGTATACCACTAACACTACTAAAACAACGTAAGTCTAAGCCCGTTTTTCTGGCTTTTTACAAATATATCATTATTATTATTAATGAGCTGTGAAGGTTATTCGGAAATTCAATCATTCGGAAGCCACATACTATATTAAGCCCAAAAAGTACTAGTTTATTTGTCAAAGGCTCAATTTTTATTTAAAAAAAAACAAATTGTGTGATTTGTTTTTTCAAGGGCTGGTTCAATCTTACAAAGCTCTTACCAAAACAGCGGTACTCAGAAACAGCACCAAGAAAAATCCCAATTTCGTCATTGCTCAGGTAGTCCAGTATAGCTCCCTAGAATATATGCACTGGTACTAAGGTTTCGTTAGTACTCGAAGTCAATATTATCTAATCATTACAAAATAGATATGCCAAAAGATTGTTCACGCACAGCGCTCGAGATTTTACGGGAATGATTCAACAGAAACACACAAATTCGTCCGTTCCAGTTTTATAATGATGCTTTGATTAGAAGTACTCATTTGCAGAATGACTACAAATTATGTTCATCAATGGAAACGTTCTGAAGGTCAATTTGCAATTGCGGCATGACTGATTGGTCCTCAAAAAATGTATATATCAATAACAAGCATCTTTTTTATACCGAAGCAGCTGAATAAACCTAAATACCAGCTTTGTGATATCCGTTTTTTTTCTTGAACTGCCCAAGATTAGAAGAACTGGGAATAGCCTCCTCGGGTAGATTGTTACACAATCTCGTTTCCTTAGGGATAAAGGAGTGGTCGTATGGACCAGTTCTGGATGTACAGAGTTCAGGAGGCTCTGTCTGGCAGGCACATCGCGCGGCGGTATCATGGAGGGGAGGTCTGAGGAGCAAAACCTGTCGGCATAGCTGTAGAAGAGTGCTAGAGACCTGACAGAAGAATTCGGAAAAACAATTTCGCAGTTACATGAAATGTATATTAAGGTGGTCGATTTTTGCTTAACGTATTCTACCCGAAGGAACCTGAAAGATCCTATCTCAATCTATGAGACACTGGCAGAGTTCAAAAATCTATTTTAACAAGCGTTAGAATGTTATATTTTGCTGCTGTCCCATTAGATGGCGCTAGAATCTTCAATCCCTTTTCGGCGTCACTCGAATGCCTATTTTATTTATGATTTCTTGTACAATAATAGGCGAATCACCATATATTTTGTCGGTCAGGCGTCACTCAGTGTTAGGTCCTCGAGTAACAGCTGCACTGATTTGAGAATGCCAACAAGAACTGAACGCACTGGCGGAACACAGCAAAATGTAACTTTCGGACGGCTTCACCAAAGGAAGGAATGCCTGTTTCAAGAGGAATACCTACGTTAATAATCAATGCCTGAAGATACCCGATAAAGTAGGCATTAGAGAGTTACCAAAAAAGGGGTTATCTATGAGACAGTAACGGAACCAAACCCTCGAACTCTTTTCAGAGTAGATTTCTAAATATATTCTGCTATTGTGTCATAGTTGGCGTTAGTATTCGTTCAGCACAAGATTTCCGTAATACGTAATCACTTTCCTTTAAAGCATGGACTGGTTAGATTTTATAAGGATGAAGACCCATTTTTTTCTTCATTATGCCATGGAGTGTTGACCTAGTGATTCCCAAAGCAGCCGAGAGAACGCCAAGGATTTGCAATGACCGAATCACTTATTCGACGCACATTTTCTTCGCTTGATACAGTAGATGTGGGTTGACTAAGGGTAGAGCTTGTTTCACTGAACCTCTTAATCCACTTCTTCAAAAGCTTCTTACTTGTGGCGTCTCTTGATCAGCGAATGTATCGTGTACAAAATTTCCGAAGGTCCGCTGCATATGAATCACCACTCTTAAAGTAAGCCTCGATAGCTAAAACACATTACGCTCCGGGCCAACGTTCCATTGCGATTATTTAACCCGCACGCCGATCAAGACTTAATCGCGTACACGGTTGCCGCGTAATTCAAATTTGGAATGTGCACTTTCCCACTTTACACCCTGTATAAAAACGGAAGTGTGTCTTTTAATTTTGTAGGTACCTTGTGTAAGATTCATATATTTTCTTACTCAGTTTCTTTCTTTAAGTTTCCATGAAAAAAACAATAAAAATCGAAGATTTTTTTTTATTATACAATTAATTTGTCCAACCTCGCTGTGACACTGTGTATCAAATGTTGTTTTACATTTTATTCAATCTAGTCAAGTATTTTTAATTTTTTATATATTTTTATAACTTAAGTATTCAAAACAGCGATATTCGAACACTTTTTGTCTTTGTATACAAATTCTTGAGTATATGATATAATAAAGTGTTCAGGATTCGTATTAGAATACCGTTCAGTATTCGACCCAAGTTTGGCGGGCAGAGAATTTTTTTAACCTCCTGAAATCATCTATGCGAAAAAACTCGATTTTCTTTCAGACTGTTTAATCCCGGCAATTCCAAGCAATCCTTGTCCACCTTTTGCTTCCCCGACTTTTCCGCGTCTTTTATATTATAAAAAACATTGACTTGGTGCGCAAGAGGATGTCGTTTTCCAAAAATAAAAGAACCATTTTACAAAACAATATATTGCTCTAACTTACATCATACAAAAAAAACTGTATTTACACATACAAAAGAAATCAACGCTTAAAATAATGTACCGATGCGGAACATACAGATCTAAAATAAATAACTAGCAGTTTTCAGTAATAATATACAAAATAGGCGCAAATTAACTTTTTTTAACGAACCATAAAGAAAACAATTTTTATACTATAAACAAGCATGGAAACTCACATTTCTAATGTATAAAAATACAAATTTTGCTTCTATGCAAAACAGAGCTACAGAAGATTGCATTAAGACACATAATTAATTCCATCACAACAGGGAGATCTCTATAAGTCATTGTACAAAATAATGCACATATCGTCAAACTGCGATTAGTACTTTAGATGCAGCCTTGATCAAAAGCATTAGGGCAAATATATAAAGTGACAAATCTTTCTCAGAATTAACCTTCGTTAACCTACTCGTCAATATTAAAACACGATCGAAATATTTTTTTAAATACAGGTAGTTCCTTAATCGCATGCTTATATTTAAGAAAATTAGTCGTGGGCCCCTTTTAAGAAAAAAATTCACATGACCGTATGTCCTAAACGTCTTGACCTTTGAGAAAAAAGTCTGTATATCGAAGGTTAAGACATTTAGGACATATATTCATATGATTTTGTTCCAAGAACCACCTCCTTAAATATTAGCATGTCAGTAAGGAACACGACTTTCTTCATTTCAAGAAAAATTTTATCATGCGGCAACCAAACATGTCAAATAAATTAACGTTAATTTTATTGTTTGAATAAACTATCTGTCTGATTGCCCCATCACTTTTGACCTAAGCTTCAACCATTTCTTCTGATAAAGCTGGTGCTCTTTCCTCGTTTGAAACTCTCTGCCCAGTTTATCCTAAATTTGTCCCGAAGAGGACATAGAACGTTATCATTTCCTGTCTCGTACCGTCATCTCCCAATGAAAAGTGTTCTTTAATTTCTTGTCCGTGAAGCCGATATACCAGGAGAAACTACGGCAATACTGTCCGTGCTATAAAAACGACCGCGAAACATGACGCCTGGAGCACCTGTGGTGCTTTGACAGGGTTGCCATGTTGGGGGATCTTCCCCAAATTTGGAGGATTTCCACAATCTTTTGGGGATATACTGTTCTGGTTTAAATCACACGTTTCGCAGATGGAAAGCACTCCTGCGCTCTTTGAACCAAACATACCCCTTTCCATCAATTACCTTTGATTTGGGTATTTTTTTTGAAAATTAGCAATTCTGACAGATTCAAAAATTCTGTCCATCCCTTTTGGCAATGCTATGCTTTGACAGACACTTTCCTAAGAGTCTAAGGCCCGCCCACTTCAATTTGCATGTTTCTGTTTTTTGATAAAACTTTAATGATAAATAATTGTAGAATAGATTACCTGGCAGAGGCAATGCTCCTGTAATATGCTCTAGTATTATTTATCATTCATCAAAATTAGGTGTAAAAAACAGATACATGCAGGTAGGTTCAAGTGGCCGGACTAGGGATGCAACGATATATCGGAAAACCGATAAATATCGATATATCGACAACTAAAAATATCGATATTTATCGATATCGACGATACAAGAGATTAAAAATGCAGAATATACAAAAGGAGAAAAGTGTTCATATGGCGGATCTGTCAAAGCACAGCGTCGCCAAATGTGTTAGACACATTTTCCCCCAAAAAAAATCCACCAATCACAGTTAATTATGGAAAGGGGTAGTTTTGCTTCAAAGAGTGGGGGGATGCTTTCTATGCGCGAAACGAGTGATCTCCCCCAGAACATTATATCCTCAAAAAATTCCCCATGACTGAGGAAAAAACCTACAACATGGCAGCGCTGTCAAAGCACCACTGGTACTCCAGGCGTCAAATTTGAGGTCATTTTACAGCACGAGCAGCATTGGCCGTAGTTTTTCGTGGTGTGCACGCTCAATGAGAAAAAACACGAGAAAGCTGGCTGCAAAGAACATAAACATAACAGTGCAACACCAGTTTCGCCAAAAGAAAACCCTATTCTACTCTCTTATCGATAACGCGTTAGTGTTTGTTCTGACGAGGAATAAAAGGGATCTGAATAGAATGTCCTGTCACAGCTCCTCAGGCCCATTTTAATTATCGTGCAACTGTTGCATTAACCTTTGATTGTAAGCTTCGTAAAAGTCGATCGCTTTTGAGGGCGCTGAAGGTGGTGGACACGGTGTAGTTGTCGGCGTTGAGGTATCCACGGAAGGTGGTCTACTTGGGAGAGGTAGGGGCGGATAAAACCCTGGAGGAGGTCGGAGGGAGGTTTTAGGCGGGTACTGTTGCTGGTATGATCCTTGCAGATGATATGGAGCTTGTTGGTGATACGCTGGGCCCATGCCCGGGTTGTCCTGCAAATAAAAATAGAAAATGATAGAAAAAGTATTCTGATTTGGTTTTTTGCATGTTGGCCGGCCCAAAATTGCGTCTAAAATTTTTTTTAACAATTTTTTCAAATTCCTTAAATTATTTTATGTCCATAACAAGTTTTTTTAGATTTTTTCGGCAGTGACGGAAAAAAGTTATAAAGATTTATATATATATATATATATATATATTGCAATAATTTTTGTGTCACTACTTTGGCTACTTCTACTAATTCCGGTGGAGTCAAAGAAAACTCGGAATCATACATTTTTTACTTTATAATATCAAAAATAACTTCTAAACGACCAAGTTCATATTTTTTAAATCAAATCTCAAAATTAAATTGACAGCTATTTAATTACTTTAAAAGTTGCCTTAGCAGCGCAGGTCTAATTGTCGCTATAAGTACAACATAGCAGACTAATTTCAAAATTCAAATTTCACATCGGTAATTTTCTTTATTGTAATAATATAATTTTTCAATATTAAATCGTCGTTTTTCCCGTCACAGATAAAAATTTTGTATTATACACGGAAAAAATTCTAGATTTTAGCTTGAGGTTGTATTGTCACCCGACGCGAAAAGAAAAAACGGAAGACCTGGTAACACTGCGTTCAATGTATGTTATATTCTGCGACATCTCCGCCGCGACCAGCAGCTTCTCGTATGCTGTGTGCCGCATCTACATCAGCAGAGGAAAAATAACTTCCTAAGCATCTCAAAATGACATGAAACGAACAAATGTCGTCCACCACATAGGCGTCTCGTCACTGATGGGAGTATTTTTTGCATAAACTTTTCACTGAGGTACAGCTTACTTGTGATCTGAACTGCATCCTGCTCCATAGCATTTGCATCATCCAAGGTTGCATGGGATTATAGTCAGGATAACCGTAGCTTGGTGCTGGACAGCGGGGACCGTACCTATAGAAACAGTAATATATACACTACTGGCTTTTAGATTGGTGGTTAGTGAATCTCAACTTCTAAACGAAAGACCAAATCGAAATGAAAAAATCTTAATATGCAAGAATATTTATTACAACGTTAACGAATTTTATTATTTTGGGGCCACTCCGCAAATATACTGTTAAAAAAATAAGAGGGCGTGAATTACGAGAGGCAAATTTGACGATTTTCTCAAACCGCCTCTCCTGCTCTGGTGAGTTGTCGTGAGGTTTGGTTCAACCCCTCCCTCCGTCCCTAACTACACTTGAAATTTTTCAAAATATCTATTTTTACTGTAAATGTGGATTTATTTCAAAAAACATAATTAGTCTCATTATTTTATTTAAGATTAGTTGACAGTATATGAGCAAGATAAATATTAATGAGTCACATTTTGCAATATTTTAATCAACAAGCATGTTTTGCTTTAAACCATTTTTTGAAATCGTACACACGCGGGAAACAATACGTGATATTCACCTAAACGCCCCCACGTCAGACTGGGTGAGATTCGACTAGAAATATCAAAACTACACTACTCAGAAAAATTAAAGGAGCAAGAAAAAATCGAAATATTTCAGTGATTTTTGTAGAAAATGATCGTATCTAGACTTTGGGCCAAAAAGAGTCAAAAAAGGTTGCTTTTGCTTTGTTTTGGAAAATCGACTACCTTTTTACAATTGCTAATGAAAATGGTAACGTTTTTAGTTTTTTTATACCTCAATGTACACGATGGCAGATCGATCCAGGGTACGGTTTCTCAGGACCGATTGGTCAACATTTGAAAGAAATCAAAAGAGCAAAATTTTTGTAACAAAACAACCGGCACGAGTATTATGTAAAAAACGTCAAAAAACATATAAAATGTCATCTTGCAGAATAGGTTGTTTGCTAGGGTGCAAAAACATCATTCCACGTTTGCTCACTAGGCTCGTTGTGAACGTCCATCTGTGGAGGATCGGCTCTACTACACGCATTGTTGGTTGCATATGTTTTGTGAAGCCAAGTAGTCTGTAGCTTTCATCTCTAAGAAGAAAGTTCTGGATGATTATGTGTATTGGTCTGCATGTGTAAAAAATCAGTGATATTTGCTGTGTGAGAAAATCATTACTGAATATGATGCCAATATATTTTATATGTTGTCCTTTCTGAAGACAGGTTATGTTCAAGTGATAATTTTTTTACGTTTTTTTGTGTTTTCAAAACCTTTGAGGACGACCAGAATGAGTAAGATCGGACACTGAATTTGCATCATTTTCAAATGTTGACCATCGGTAATGAGAAGCCATACAATGGATCGATCTGCCGTCGTGCAGGGTTATTAAAGGCACATTTAGGTATAAAAAAACCTAAAAGTGACTGTTTTACTCTTTTAAAATCAATACTAAGGAAACAAAAAAAGTTTCCTCAAAGAAGGCAATCAAGTCTTATAGGAGATTTATCCCAGTTCTGTTCTCTGTGCGATCACTGGTTACCGAGATATCAGTGCTCGATGACAAAAGGATCCTTCTGGATATTGAAGCTGAATAAACGGGCTATCTGATCCATATGATGGCATAACAAAAAAATATTCAAGTCCATGGACTAAAAAAAAAAAATGCAAAAATTTTGGAAAAACAACCTTGCGATATTTGTTAGAATTGCATGAGAACCGTTGCTCCTAAAATTTTTCGACTGAAAAACCTGAAAACTAGAATCTTGTAGCTCTCTAATGCGATTTTTAAAGTCTAAATACAACCATTTATCGCCGGAATACCGATTTTTTCTCTTTGCTTGGCTATGTCGCTTTTTTATTTTCTATCCTTCGGTTTATCTTTAATTTAGATTTATCTTATAACTGTAAGACAATAAAGGCTATTTGTTCATTTATTTTTGAGTTTTTGACTTACCCAAATGGAGCACAATCTGAAGCAGTCGACCAAGGTTGATAACCTCCATAATGTTGGGGTGGCTGGTAACCCCCATAAGGTAAACTGGGAGGGATGGGAGGACCCTGATGCGGAATGAGAGGCCCAGTTGCGTTCTCGCTTGTCTGGATGGCACAACCACAACTTTTTTCCGGTGTTGCCGTCGACGCCTATACAAACAGAATCGAATAAACATTACGGAGAATAAGCAAAAATATACTAAGTGACATGCGAGTAGGTATAAAATTCAACACCCAAAATTACTAAATTGAATTATGATAAAAACTTGTAAGCATATTTGTAAAAGCTTTTCTTGTCGTATCAGGATCCGAACAATATGAACATGTTTACTTAATGTTCAATGATTTTTCTGTGTAATGGTTCCATTTGTTTCATTGTTGTTTCATTGCATTATCATGCCTAGAGTTCGCAGACGCTGTAATTTCACTCAACTTTCCCGAGTTTAAGAGGGGCCGGATAATCGGGTTACGTGAAGCCGGATTTTCTTTTAGAGAAATCGCTAATCGGGTGAATCGAAACGAAGCTACTGTTATGAGACGTTATCGAGAGTGGTTCCAAAAAGGCCGAAATCGACGAGTTAGAGATACTGGACAGATTGGAGGAAGACATTTTGAAGCATTGTTGTGATGATATCATGTACAAAAGGCAACAATTAAATGCATTAAATCCTATTTAGGCAATTCATCGTCTTCCTAAATTTTAACGCGTTATAGGGCCCTAGTGCTGTAGTAACACTTGTCCGGTTATGGGTCCCTATACCCAAATGTTTTCTACTGTTACACTGAATAAGCCCTACAAGTTTGATCCCATAGTTCTGAAACACCCTGTATACTGAAACGTAGCTACACTTACCTGTGAAGTATCCGTAGCATTGGTTATTGAAACAGATTCCACCAATCGCACAACATCGTTATCACTGCTCAACCACCGCTGTTCAATAGTGACCTCTTTGTTTTCATCCATCCATTTTTGTTCAACCGTAACTTCCTCAACGCAACTTTCATAAGAGGTAGACTCACTACTATTATTAGATGATGGTCGAGAACCTTTGTAAATGAATAAACTTAATAAATTGAACAAACTATAATAGGGAATATGCACGCATTTTTTGTGTTTCCTGTCGATTATTAACATTAATACTGGGTGCGCCATCTATTACTTTTTTTACCTATAAGTTTATGTGTTACCATGTGAGTCAAAAGTCATGTGGTATGCATAAATGAACTGTCAAAGGTATGCCATTTATCATGGATTCGTTTACAACACAACAACGCATTTTGGTTATCCAAACTTATTACGAAAACGGTCGAAATATAAGAAATACTTTTCGCAAACTTCGCACTACCTTTGGCCGACATGGACGCCCTACAGAGCCTGGAATTCGTTGGATTGTTAGTCGTTTTGAGGAAACTGATTCAGCTGAACTTAGCCGCAGTGAGTAAAAGTCCAACCACCTAGACTAGGCACCGTTCGCAACAATTGGGAATTAGTGAAACCACTTTACGCCTGATTTTACACATTGATTTACACCTCCATCCATACAAAAACCAACTAACACAAGAATTGAAGCCAGCAGACGATCAACAGCGGCGTGTTTTTGTTAATTGGATGCTGGAAAGAGAAGACGGATTTTCGGCCAAAGTACTCTTTTCTGATGAGGCTCATTTTCACCTCAATAAGCAAAATTACAGATTCTGGGGGGCTGAAAATCCACACCAATATCATGAACAACCTCTCCATCCTGAAAAAGTGACTGTTTGGTGCGGATTATGGGCTGGTGGCATCGTTGGACCATTCTTGTTTGAAGATGCCGAAGAAAAGGCCATTACCGTCAACGGGGAACGTTATCGCGGAATGTTAACAGACTTTTTGTGGCCACAATTGGATCGTATTGGTGCCGACTATCTTTGGTTTCATCAAGATGGCGCAACGGCTCACACATCTCGCCAAACAATCGCCTTATTGCACACGAAATTTCAAGACCGCATAATTTCACGAAATTCAGATGCCAGTTGGCCCCCGAGATCGTGCGATTTAACATCTCTTGACTATTTTCATTGGAGATTTTTGAAAAGAAAAGTGTATGCGAATGGTCCCCGGACAATTCAATACCTAAAGCGCAAGCGGACTGAAATTGCTGCCATAGACCCGATTATTCTGGGAAAAGTCATTAAAAATTTTGATGTTCGGATGTTGGCCTGTAAACGAAGCCGCGGTGGTCACATGACTGATGTTATTTTTCATGCATAAATGGCATAAGCCAACCTTCATTTATCAATAAAAAAATCGATTTCACCTCGTAAAAAGCGTGTTGATTTTTCAAATAGAAAAAAGTAATAGATAACGCACCCTGTACAATACCGTAATATACGTATTTCATCCATGAAAATGTCTATATTTACTTGTAATCAAATATTTAAAACTGCAATGCCAACGACGATTTAAGCGACGTCATAGCTCATAACTTGTCATTCTACTGTATTTTGATTAGGTTACTGCCGAGTTTTTGACATACCATGTGATTACAAAGTATTTATAGGTAATATTTAATACTACAAATTATGTTTAAAAACTGTAAACTCAAACTGAAAGGGTGTCTATCACTGACAGTCACAAGTAGCAAGTAGGGACGTCACGAATAACGTTGCATTTCGACATTTTAAATTTACCACGTAAATCACTATATTTTTTCATATTCATATTCATTCAGTTTTTTTTTGTTTTTTGAAAAAAATAAACAAAGATATACAGTAATGGACAAAAGTATATAGACGTCACGTCGACATTGCCAAAAATTTGAAGCTGAAGCGTAAAGCTGTTTGGGCAATATTGAACAAATATAAACAAAAAGGTATCATGGAAGATTCTGTGGTCGGCCTTGAAAACTAAATGCCAGATCAGTTAGATTAATAAAAGTAATTTTGTCCAAAGATCCGTTTAAAACCGCAAGACAAATAAAAGCCGAAATCAAGACAAAAGGAATTGTCAGTGTTTGATTGGAGCATCTGTGACTGAAAGAGGGTATGCTTCAGTGACGAATCCAAGTTCAATATGTTTGGATCAGATGGTGTTCATTACGTTAGACGTCCTAGTGGTTGAACCTCAAGTACACTTTACCCACTGTCAAACATGGAGGCGGGTCTGTTATGGTTTGGGGGTGCTTTTCGGGGTTTGGGATGAGACCTTTACATAGAATGGATGGCATTATGGATAAGTTTGTATACACAGACTTACTAAAGCATGTCATGTTACCCTATATGGAAGACAATATGCACTTAAGATCAATCTTCCAGCAAGATAATGACCCGAAGCACAATTCAAATCTCGCAAAGAAATTCTTTCTGGATAAAAAATACCAGTTCTCAAATGGCCTTGACAGTCTCCCAATATAAACCCCATTCAAAATCTATGGGAATACTTAGATAAGCAAATACGAGATACAAATTATTCAAACAAGGATGAACTTTTTGCCGCTTTAGAGCAAAAGTGGAGACAGATTGATGAATCTTATATCAAGAGACTTCTACAATATATGCCGAGATGATGCCAGCCGGTGATTGATAATAATAGTTATGCTACAAAATATTAACACAAACATGGTTGGTTTTCTATAATTCAATGAACTTTGCTTCTTTTTTGTATAATTGTTTTGCTTTATCTACATATTTTTGTCCTTCATAGTTCCAGTTTTTTTCAATAAATTTTTTATTGAAGGGAGTCTAATGAATTTATTTATGTATATGCTATAACGAATTATGTATAGAGGTTGGTGTATTAATAAAACAAGTTAAAAAAGAAATACAGCACAATATTAATGTCTATATACTTTTGTCAATTACTGTAATTAACGTTATCGGGTTATCTTTTAGTCCATGAAGTACCTTCGCATCTCTCGGAAAAATATGGTTTTTCGGTATTTTGTCATGGTCCATTCTGGAATTTCAATTTTGATTAATACTAATAACAATAATAAATTATTAGATAATTTCTCGTGATTTCACATCTCTAGACATTTTTCTTTTGGGCTAAGTCGTCCCTACAGTTGTAGGGCGCGTTAATGGCCTCCTTGATTGTCATACTGCTTTCTCTCCTTAAAAAATTTCTAGATTACACTTGTCCCGTGTCAGCGTCAGCGCTCTCCTATTGTGAAGATATGTTTTCTTTTTAAATTGTAGGAAATTTCAGGCTGATAAAACATGATATAACTCAAAAGCAAGCACAATCTGATGCAAATAGATGTTTGTGACATAACCTCAAAATAGAGCTGACACGGAGAAGTAGAAAACTATGACAATCAAGGAGGCCATAAAGGTGCCCTACAATTGTAGGGACGACTGACGATACGGGCCTAAATGCACGGAGGTGTCATCAAAAATTGGAATTCCAAGATGAAAGAAAAAGAATTAACTTTGGTAGCCCGACATAGTTCATAGTTTTCAATTTTTATACTCCAAATGAATCACCAATTATTTAAAGTTATACAGAGAAATCCATATACCACTGACGTCGTAATGTGTACGCGACTAAAGCGTGAGTTAGCGTACAATACGTCTATTAGAAAGAGATACAAGTGCTACGTCGCCTAGCAACCCGAGTAAGGAGGCGACGGACGCAGCTGAGGCTTGCCGCGTTGCCAACGTCGCACGTCTAAAGCCGGTCCCAGTCAGTCCTTTCTTCGGCGAATAACGAAGCTTCGTACTTCGGCGAAGCACATACTTCAAGTTCGCGTTGACTTCCAACCACTTCGTATTTCGGGATATAACAAATATTCTGCAAAGCCTCGATTGTAGTTTTAAAATGGACATAGGCGCGGACGAGCAGCTTCCATAATCATGTGCTGTTCTTTTTTAAATGAAACAAGTTTAAACGTCGAAAAAGAAGGTCGTGGATGCTATCTTTAAATAAAAGTCGTCAAGTTAAAATGTTTCACTCATTTCCGGCGGTCTGTCTGTCTGTCTGTCCGGTAATCCTTAGCCCCTCTATAACTCGGAAAGTACTACTCGAAAGTTGATAAAATTTTGACCGCAGTTTAGTACTATAGCAGGGATGCATTGTAGTTTTATGGTTTTAAACAATCGGTGCAGTTGCGGCTGTTATCGTCAAAAAACTAAAAAAAAAATTAAATGCGCTCAAACTCTGTTTTTGGATGTTTTCGGGGCTCCTGATCACTTTCCAACAATTTTTTGTAGGTGTAGATAAATAATCGGAGGTGGGAGCAGGTTGGAGAAGGGGGTATCTCTTATATTCTGTCCGTGACACCGCTCATCAAAGCGCGGGAAGTATAGAATCAATCTACTTGACGCCATTTTTTAAAGTAGGTTTTACTTTCAACTTTTTAAGGTACGACGAGGATAAACAGTGTATCAAAAATTTTCCAAAAATTAATTCACTAGATCTTTGTTCCACTCCATTACTACTCGCTCAAACACAAATTGATACTGCACTGATCAGACTAAATGTAACGAAGGAGCAGCTTTTACCGCCAATCAGCGAGAAAAAGTTCGTACTACCACGAACTGCGAAGGCGAAGCGAAGCAACTCTCCCACACGGTCCACGAAGTTAGGCGAATACGGAATGTTCGGCGTAGCTCGTAGTGTCTGGGACCGCCTTAACGTTCGTGATATAGGGATTTCTCTGTAGAATTTAAAATAACAAACAAGAGAAACTTACCTACTATGTACGACAAGAACGGGTTATTCGGATTCAGCACCGACGGCCCATTGTCTTCTTCAGATTCTTCATGCATACCAGATAAAAACGGATTTGTGCTCTTACTACCAGTAATACTATGCACTTCATCAACATTTCGTATGTTCTCTTCTACGCCAGGTAAACTAACTACCCCGAATCCGTGAATTTCGTTTTTTCGGAAACTTCTTGGTCCTCGGGACGACTGCCTGTTAATTCTGCACTATTCACTGTCGATTCAGAACTCTCTTCGTCAATCTCCTCAGATTCACAAACCAACGGTCCAGCGCCATCCTCTTCTGCCTCACATTTTATAATATCTAACTCCCTCATGATATCCTCAGCAAGTGCCAGATCCTGCTGTACTTTTTCTGCAGTTTCTCTCTTCAAGTCCTCCAGCTCCTTGTACATTTTCGAAATATCTTCCGAACCCTCATCTTCTCTAACCTCACTATTCATATCACTGTTTTTGATAAAGTCTGCTATTTCACCCTGAAGTTCTCCGAAGAAAGCCAAGTCCAAGTCTTTCGTTTCGCCACAACACATATCGATATAAGTGCTCCTTACGCCTCGTTTCAACTTCTTTTCGTAAAATTCTATCGTTTCCATTATATTTTGTTTTTCATCCGTACGGTCGATGGAATAATATTGCGCGTAACAAAAATGTGTGGGCACGCCACAGTTAAACAAAATGTCCATTTCTTGCGTAGATGGGGCGTATCCCAGTTCTAGTTCCAAAAATGTGGGAAATAGATGTATGTATTTCACTAATGGCTTAAACGCGCTATCTACAGGCTCAAAAACATCTGAAATATACTTTCAGGAATCATTGCACTAATGTATTTGGCCAATATAGTTAGGACTACATTCGTTTGGATGAAAACTGACACTTAATCTGGCTCTGATCCTTTGACCTTTCTCCTGAAAATAGTAACATAGCAAAGCACATGTTTGTAGTTGCTACATACAAACAAGTATAACAAATAGATTACGCACTAGCAAATAAAAAGATCAAACTTAATAAACACAATAACTTCTGCTCTATTTCTCTTAATTGGCTAATAAATGAAGTTTCAGCTACCAAGTCAGTCTGGCAGTAAAAAATAAAGAATGAAAGAAAAGATCGAGGTTGAAAAATAAATACCAATAGCAGCAGAAAATAAAATACTCAGTTCATCATGTGATTCCATATATTGGCATAACCAAAGCAGACCAAACTTAATAATATAGTAAAAGTTGAAAAACGCAATATTTGGAACCCAATAATAGACTCTAATTTCTTAATTTTGCAATGTACGTGTGAATGTGAGAAATATTTAATTGTTTCACAGACATAAAATTATCTGCAAAAAAGATGAATTAAAGTTCACAACCTACAGTACTAAATAGCAAATAAAATCAACAATAGGCAGTGGCTGCCTCTCTCACGCTCTTTGTTTGGCCAATAAATAAGGCTATTCTCTTAAACATCAATAATCAACTACTATAAGTTTTATTCCTGCTGGTTGCTGAAACGTCAATAAAGTGATTCATTCCACATCTGTGATTTCATCTCACGATACACATACACTGAAGATAGGATATTGCGCATGTGGGCGGAGCTTCGTGACGTCACTTGGAGAGTTATCGTCTCGTGGTTACCAGCGGCAGGATTGTCGTAACGTGCAGTTCACGTGTACCGTGGTTAATATTATATAGTGCGATTTGATGGTGTTTTTTGGAGGTTTTGTGACTTGTTAAATTAGTTATACATACTCTATATGCCCTGTGATGCTAGTAAATTGATAAAAATGCGGTGTGCTGTTGTGGGATGTAATTCCGACAACCAATCTACACGGAATCCTTGCAAAGACATGAAGTTCCACAGTTTTCTTCAAGACCCAAACCTTAGCAAAAAATGGCTACATAATACAAAAAGAAAAATCAAAGTCAATGTAAAAAGCGTTAGGGTGGCACCTAGACCATGTATATCTGTTGATGGGGAAAGCGGAAAAATGCTTACGAAAAAAGGCAAAGGGCTCAACTTATCCCCTAGAGTTTAAGTATAGAATAAGGTCATATATTTTGGGGCGAAACGAAGACGCATACTTAGAGTATTGCAGCGTACAGGGAGAGGATACTCCGTACATTCCACGAACCGCATCATTAACGAATAAACTGAATGCACCTGAAGTATCAGCTGACTATAACGAGGAAGTTTTAACGGAAGAAATGGATGAGCTCGAGTATGATGGGCTGAAAAATTTGGCCGGCTTTGTTTGCCATAAATTGCAGGATGACAGGTTGAAAAGTTCCTCAAATGAAACTTACTCGTGGATAGACCATCTTAGTGAGAATGGATTATCAAAACCTTCCACAGCTTCCATGAATCAAATTGAGAAGCTTAACAAGGTGTTTACTACATTCAATGGGGACGGAATAGTGACAGACAAGCAAGATTTTATAGGCGAACTTCTGTTGAAAAGCACCAACATTGACTGCCATGAAAAAGCTAAGAAACTATTTTTCAGGTCATAGATGTTGTTCCGGATTAAACAACTGAGTAAAAGTTAAAAAGACCAGAAAAATCGTGGAAGGAAATGGATGGAAAATTGTGGCTTAGACTAAGAAATTGCCACTTATTGTTATACTGCCAGCTTACTGCAACAAGATGATAACTCCATTTTTCTACTTTTTGAGTTGCGTACATTTTCACACTTGCATGTAGTTAGTACTTAGGATGTTCTGTAAAGTAAGGATGAATAAATGTAGTGCAGTATTAGCGTCATGAGCATGTTAATCCTGCTCCACAGAACATACTAAAATATAGGTAATGTAGAAAAATCTTGTTTGTACAGTAAAGTGACGATACACGCTCTATTGTGGAGCTAGAAAGCCGTTTAAGCTATAGCCTGTGAGAAGAAATTACAAGGTTGAAAATCCGCCATTTTGTTTTGTATGAAATTTTAATGTAGATTGTGTCATTCGGACCGCTAAGACGAATCCAACAACACCTCATATGTGAAAATCTATCAAGCCGTTTGAGCTGTAGGTGAAAATATGCACGTTTTCCACATTAACCCAAATGATAATCACTCTCCGCGTGACGTCAAGCGCGCCCGCGGACGAAAATCGAACAGCAGAGCACCCGGCACTGATTTCATCTAATGACCAAATCGTTCCATTTACTGATTCGATTGCTGTTTCTTTCATAAAGCCCTTTAATTTTGTTACCTATATCATAGGGGTGACTATGGTAATTATAATTACCATATTGGATTTAGCATGACAGCACATTGCTAACTGTGTTTCTCTGATCAAGCCGCTTCACGTGTACCCACATGATAGGTGTTACTATGGAAGTGATGAATCGCCATCTTGGATTCAAAATAGCGGCAGCTAATTTATTTTTATTTTCACGCGAACCAGAAGTGTGTACAAAATTTCAGCTCAATTGGTTAAGGTTAAATGATTCAGAATTCAGTTCCAAGATTTATCTCACACATACATTCTTACATACTAACATACAAACAGGTCAAGTTATATAAAAGCAAGTTGAGTTTTCAAGAAAAGCAAAGATTTTTTGAAAAGGAAAAGTGATAACAACGAAAGTAATCACTCGTCTCATTCTTCCATAAAAGATGAATATTCACAAACAATTTCAGAGTTGTACCTATATTTGTTAACAAATTCTGATTGAAGAAAAAATAAGATAAATAAAAATAAAATGCACAAAAAAATGAATTTTTTGACAAAAAAAAATGAAAACATTGTTTTTTAGTCATATCTATACACACCATGAAATTATCAGATGAAAAGGATTTAGAATACTGCTGCAAACAGCAAGTTCAAAAAAAAAATCTAAAAAAAGGGACGTGCCAGCTGTTCATGTGAAACGGCATTTTCTTGTACCACTTGAAACTTATTCATACAAATAATGATAACATATTTTATATTCCGGTCGACTCTTATGCAAAAAAAATGTTTAAAATAGTACTTCGACACCTCAAGGACACCATGTTGTTTTTCTTGTGAAGTATGTTGCAACAACAGTTCTATGTGGTTTTTTGCTTTCTTTGGCATTTGGCAACAAGATGTAGGATTCCGAGTAAGCAAAACTATGGTGACCTGCACCACGAACTTCAAGTTCATTTCAAGGTTAAACATATAATTTCAAATGGAACCCCAGATTTGGAAAGAGGACGAAAGCCAACATCTGAATATGACCTTGACGATGAACACAACAATCACCTTCGAGGCCGTTTCACGCTCTGGCAAAAATGTTCGACAGCACAGTTATGACCGTGACCATCATCTTGACCATGACCAAAGTTTGAGTCAAAATGTTCAAAGGAAACCCATCATTTTAATCCTGGCATTGGAAAAGCAGCAGTTACGTCCGAATGTGTCCTTGACCTCCAAGTCAAGGTCATGTCGATCTTAAATGTTATTTGTAACACAACCCCATGATTTTTATGCTAAAATTCCAGAGGCCAAAAAATTTTATATTTAAGGTGTAAATGTTTGGCCATAACCGTGAAGGTGATCGTCGAACGTTTTTGCTAGAGAAAATTGTTTTCAACGTCTTGATTTGACCTTGAAATTGCCTCGAAGGTTTACACCATGGCTAAGCTAAGTGTTTGTATAGCACACAGCACAATATGTAAATGGGTACAAACCAGCTTAAACATATGAAACAATACCATATGTTAGTGAACATACACACACTAATCTCCTGGCCACTCTGTCTCACTCAGCCTAGACTTTCGCTTCTCAGCCAACAGCCTAAGAAACACTTTTCTTTTGCTCTCCTTAACTGGACGCGTGGTTTCGATTATTACCTGATCGGGGTATGTGGCTAGTCCAAGTTCTACCAATCTTGTGTTGATGCAAAATGGCTTGGATGGATTGGTGACGTCGATCAGGTACACTTCCAGAATTTGTTCCTGAAACGATAAACTTTGTAGTCTGAAATCGGTGAAGAAGACTGATGAAGCTATTATTTCTAGCAGCGTTTGAGTGATGGGGGGCACTTAGCCAATCAACGAATTTAGACTCGATAGATGGAGTCAGTCATGGATTTGTGTGTCTCCTAATTCTGATAGTATGTAGTAAGAATCACAGTGCACTTGACATAAGTAAATTTTCGCGGTTCTGTCATTAATTTCTTATATTTTGTGTTATTTTTTTGAAAAGTGCGAGTGTTTGCAGATAATTGTGGTGTAAGACGATTTCAGGACATGGAACTTCTTACATAGTTTGCAAAGAGAAGCACAAGACCAATGAAGGCAAATTTCCACCACTAGGTTATTTTTATGTTGATACAATGCTGTCACTTTGGCAGGCATTGGTAGACAAATGAATTACTATGCACTAAAACTACACAATTTTGTCGACAAACAACGCATTGTAAATTATAGACTTGGCTCCTAATATTTTCGTATTCGTTGGTCATGATGTATTTATTATACAGGGTGATTCACAAAAACTTTTTTTTTCATATCTTCAAAACCATCAACTGTAATGAACTAAAATTTGGTATGCGGATTTACCTAAGTATTGTCCACATTCAAAAGTCTTTATTTACAATTAACGGGCACAGTGGCGGAGATACAGGTAATTAGTGACATTATTTTTCCAAATATACTAAGTGACATATAAATACGAACACCCAGTATAAATGTTTTTATTTTAATAAAATTTTGTACAAGTACTTAATGAAGCATAATAAGTAAATGATAAAAATTTCAAAATGATTGCACTGCTTTAAAGCCCTTTGACCTTTAATAATGTGTGGATGCACCCTGATGTGCTACGCATTCTCCAACGCGCCTAGGCATGCTTCCGATCAGGTGGTCAATGTCCTCCTGTGGTATCTCATTCCAGGCAACCACCAACTCCTCTCGAAGTGCTCAATTGGGGATAAGTCGGGAGATCTTGGTGGCCATGGTAACAATG